TACTTTGGCCATCTCATGAGAAGAGAAGACTCCCTGGAGAAGACCCTGATGTTGAGAAAATGTGAAAGCAAGAAGAGCAGGGGAAACAGAGGACAAGATGGATGGATAGATAGTGTCACCGAAGCTACCAACATGAATTTGACCCAACTCCGGGAGGCAGTGGAAGACAGGAGGACCTGGCGTGCTCTGGTCCATGGGGTCATGAAGAATCGGACATGACTTAATGACTAAACAGCAACAACATTTATAAAGCTTATTAAGTAAATTGAAATTCTGGACTTGTTTCCTCCAAAATAAGCCACCCTCAGAAAAGCAGCTATATACATGAGTGCAGACTTTAAACACACATTTTATACACTACATAAAGTGTATACACACATTTCACTTATTTGAAATGCAGTGTTGGAAAAGAGTTACAGATAGCATGACTTGTCAGAAAGATAAGTAAAACAAATTAAGTGTGGACTTTCACTACAAGCTAAAATAACTAAACAAAGGGTACTGTACTACCATCATAAGAAGACAAGCTCACTGGAGAAGGCAGCAATGCAAGAAAAAGTACAGAGCAGTAGGAAAAGAGGAAAACTGCACATGAGATGGATTGACACAATAAAGAAACCCACAGTCTTTTGTTTGTAAGACCTTTTGTTTGGTGTTGCAGTCAAAGTAGGACCAGGAGCAGAAAGACTGGGATTCAGATTTTGGGAATAAACTGTGATACTCTTGCCTGCTTTGGAGATGAGAAATAGAGAAACGCAATTGCTACACACTTCAGATTTCGGCTGTTCTCAGCAAACTGCAGAGCTAAATGCAGTGGAGATTAACAGTTTTGAGTCACACACATACACACAATTTTTCCTAGGTTTTGAGCCACTTTTCAGTTTTGAGTCACACACAATTTTTTCCCCTAAACTTTTAATTCCATAGCATTAACACAGAACCCTTTGACAAGAAAAAAAAACACGTTTCCAAAGAGACACTCTGCTTTGATGAAACAAAGTCAGAGTAACATTTATAAACATTATACACATAAAAGTGTACACACACACCTCCATCTGTACATACAATTAAACATGCTTGATGAAGTCACACGTTCCTTTACTCCTTAACCTGCAGCCTTCCCCTCCTGCTTGCAAAGTCACCTCTGGGCAGGGGCCAAAGCAGGGGCCAGCTGTAACCAATCAAACAGGCTTATCTCCAATCTCTTAAAGAGATCTCAAAGAAGGAGTGCTGGAATCAAGGAAATTAGCAAGAAGAGGTGGCTGGCGATGGTTTGGCTGTGGTGGTGGGGTAACAGCAGCGGATGGGTAGTGCTTTGCTTGCATGCCAAGGGAGATGTTTCTGCGTGCCACGGGTGACACAAGGGGCCAGCTGTAACCAATCAAACAGGCTTATCTCCAATCTCTTAAAGAGATCTCAAAGAAGGAGTGCTGGAATCAAGGAAATTAGCAAGAAGAGGTGGCTGGCGATGGTTTGGCTGTGGTGGTGGGGTAACAGCAGCGGATGGGTAGTGCTTTGCTTGCATGCCAAGGGAGATGTCTCTGCGTGCCACGGGTGACACGTGTGCCATAGGTTCGCCATCATTGCATTAGAGCATGGTATGTTATAAATTTATTCAGCATTGTGGGGTTCTTCACAAAATCCCTGTCCTTGAAGTGTCTTTATGTTGCCAGACAGTGCTTGTGACCATTTCTTTATTATATCCTGAATTTTTTGTTCTTTAGGGGCAACTATGCTGGAGTCCGCCCTTATAAAACAGGACGTTCATGCAGTGCGTGCCCACAAGGAGACACTTGTCAAAATAATCTCTGCAGTAAGTATAGAAGAAAGCTAATTCATGAAAAGGATGTCCTGCCCCTTGGTTAGTCTCTAGGTTATATCCCTGAAACACTAGTGAGGACTTCTAATGAGTTCAAAGCATGAAACCAAGGCAGCAGTAATGATTTTCTGAATATACATGTGTGCTTTCACGTAACTAAATGACTGCAAGTCACACTTCACCTTTCTATATGTAAATGGAAAGTTCAAGAAGAAACCTTTATGATATAAATTACCTTGCAAAGTATTAGAAAATCTGTAAATGCACTGAAGAGTTTTAGCATCTGATAGCAGAGACAGTCAAAACTTCAGCAACTTATGTTACTGGTTTTGTGCAATACTCTGGACAAGTTCACCATTGCAGTTGAACACTATAGATTGCTACCAATTTCCAGCGATGTTGGCAAGTCTTTTGAGTCTGAGTCCCAAGTCCAAGTCTTTGGTACCAGGTCCCATGTCTGAGTTTTTGGTACCAAATCCTGAGTCCCAAATTCAAATCCCTGTTAAAAGCAAGTTGACAGCAAATCCTGCAACTCGAGTCCTCATTCCTGCCAATTTCTGAGTGCTGTCTAAATGTACAGTGGTGCCTCGCAAGACACATGTAATTGGTTCTGCGAGTAGCACTGTCTTGCATTGCATTCCTATGGGAACCTTGCAAGATGTAAAAATTTCATTCGTCTTGCGAGGCATCGGTCTTGCGAAAATCATTCATCTTGCGAAGCATGGCCATAGAAGAAGCTGTCTTGCGAGGCACCATAGCGATCGCAAAAACCATTCATCTTCTGGGTTTTTCGTCCCACGAGGCATCACTGTATAGCAGTTCATAAGCTCAAGGGAGTCGGCCAAGAAGGTTAAGGTCATGCTAAGGTTCCAGAGGCGGTACGTACAGTGGTGCCTCGCTTAACGAGCGCACTGTTTAACGACGAATCCGAATAGCGACCCGTTTTTTGGGGTCGCTAATGCGATCGCATTGCGATGTTTAGATAGGCTAAACATCGCATTGCGATCATTTCTTCACCCGGCGTCCATTTTGGAAACAGCTGATTGGTGGTTCCAAAATGGCCGTCGGGTGCAGAAAATGGCCACCCGCACCATTTTTGCACCCTGCCCTTGCTTACTGGGCAGCGAAAATGGCGGCCGGATCCAGGATTCTTCACTTACCGGTGAGTTTTTCCCTAATAGGAACGCATTAAACGGAGGTTAATGCGTTCCTATGGGTTTTCCCTGCCCAGATAGCGAAGAATCAGGATAGCGACGTTAATCTTGGAACGGAGTAACGTCGCTATGCGGGGCACCACTGTATTATAATTTTGTGTTGCAAGTCAATTCCAATTTATGGTGAACCTGCCACCCAATGTTTTATAGGTACAAAATGCTCAAGAGTGGTTTTTTAGTCCTTCCTTCTAATAGAGCTCTAGGACCATACAGCTTGCTGAAGGCTGCAAAAACTGACTTCTGTCCTGAGAAGCACATGGGGAAATCAAACCGTTGATACCAGTAGCTAGGTGTTCCAACCCAGTGAAGTATCCATCCAGTATGTTAGAAACTTGATAATGATGATTGTGTGTCATCAGGTCAATTCTGACTAATGGTGACCCTTTTCAGAGTTTTCTTGATAGAGAGTGCTCAGAAATGATTTACCATTGCCTTCTGGGGTGGGGGTGGGAGGATGGACATCTTAGGATTGTGCAGCTTGTCCAAGGCTGACTTTTCTAGGATGCACAGGGAGAATTGTACTTCCCACCTCTGGCTCAAAACTTAATGCTTTTTTCTGGTGAAGATATGCACTGAAAAATGGCAGCTGGGAAAATATGACACCTGGTGCATTTTAAGTTCTAGGGTAGACAGTTAATATAATATAATATTCTTGCATTCATTTTCTATACAAGTTTGCAACTAGATTTATCTCTTCACAACTGTTCACATTCTGAGAACAGGCTATATAAGCATATTGTTCAGATACGCATAGAAAGAATGAGAAAGCACTATAGAATACCTGTTGCTTTTGCCTTGATGAAATTATGAAATCAGCTTTTTGTATGAAGCACAGGGTGGGATAGGATAGGATAATTTTATTATGGTCAAGGACCAGCAAGACAGGGTGGGAATCAGTGTGTTTCAACCTTTGTATAAGCAAGAGAGCGTTCTTTCTACTTCAACTGTAATTTCTTACAGGTTTTCTTTTCCCCTTTTACCAGGAAATCCAGAACGTGACAAATCAAATACCAGTATGTATTTCAGTTCTATTTTGTGTTTTGAATTTATTTCAAGAGCAAAATTCACATTCAGTAATGTTTTCCCTTTTTTTATATAGGTTATGCAAACTGGTATCCACCTTATGAATATGAGATTAGATGTGATGCATCCTGTATTGCTGTTGCAATTTTAAGGCCTTTGTTGATGTTCATAACGCTTCCAGTTGTTTACTACTTGAAACTACGTTATCCTAGTTTAAGTTTTGGAATATAGACTCAAGTTTTCCTTTCAATATCTCAGAATGACTGAAGAATCACATTTACATGAATGGTTTTATTGTTGTCATTGGCATTACATTTTCAAAATATATTTGGTTGACTTCATTGTTTTATTGGGTCTTTTACATTTTCTCAAATTTTTGTTCTGTATGAAAGAAAGTGGAATATTTTTAAATCTTGAAGATATGATGAAAATAAAATACATGTCGATCTCCAGTGTGGTCAACATAAGATATTCATAAGAATTAAGTTTCTTAAATATACAGTATGTGTAATTGTTTGGCATGATTCTCATGCTATTAACTAATAAATTATTATGCACTAAATTACATGTAGTTGTCTATTTGGTTTCAAATACTCCATGCAAAGTTCAATTCCTGTGTCATCAAATATTAAATATTTGTTGAAGGGGAGGAATTGTTTGTATCTTGATCTCCAACCTTGCCAAGATGGCAGTCAGAGACGCTGAGATAGAGCCTCAAATAGCTGTTCCTTCCAGGCACCAGCTATGTCCCAGGCCAGCTCTTTTCCTCCTGAACAGAGCAGGGAAGAACAAAGACAACTGAATGGTCCTCAACTGGAAAAATGAACCTCAAAGTGGTGCTCATTCACTTGTCCACCCTCTCTTCTCTTGGAGAGTTAAGGAAGGGTCAGGGAGCTTGCCAGACATCTTGTGGGATGGATGGATGAACCTAATGGGTTGAATGTTCCCTAACCCTGGCGTATAAGAAGCTGAGCAACTCTAATTCTCCAGTAGGAGATCAGCAAGGTGATAATCAAAATGGTATTGGTTGTATCTTCATAGTACTGGGCTGTATATACCTCATCTGGTCATGATCCTGGACCACTTCCTAGCATCCTTGACTCAGTCCAGTCCTTAGGAAAAATAGGACAGAGAAGAAGCAAAGTAAGATCTCCAGTTGAAACATTCTTAGTGGTGTTTCTGTATCCAATGTTATAACCAAGGCTCAGTGACAACATGGCCTCTTATAACATCTGGCCTATGGAAGGCTATAGAGTAATTTCTCTTGGACGTGATTTCTCATCACTGTCCTAGAAGAGGACATTTTGTGTTTGGAAAACAAGGATAATAGCAAATGAGATCCTGCAGAAACAGTGGAACCACTGGCAATATTAAAACAAACATGACCACAGCACTTGGCCAGAATATTTTTTTCAGTACGGGTAACGAGAATTGAACAGTACCTCAGCCAAGATTTTTTGGAAACCCAAAGCATGCACTTAATCATTAAGAACATATAAGACTAATCTACAATAGACATTATAATGTGTGTTCTCTAGGTAACTTGAGGTCCTTAATGAGTGGTTTTACCATTTCTGCTCTTCCAGTGGGTTTCCAGTCCTGAGTGGGGATTCAAACCCTGTTTTCCAGAGTTCTAGTCTGATATGCTTTATCCCCTATACCACTCTGGAAAATTATGGTAAAGGTGGTAAAAACATGTACAGTGGTGCCTCGCATAGTGACGATAATCCGTGCAGGAAAAATAGCTCCAAAGCAATTTCGTTGCTATGTGATTTTAAAAAGCCCATAGGAATGCATTAAAACCCGTTTAATGCATTCCTATGGGCTTAAAACTCACCTTAAAGCGAAAATCCTCCATACGGCGGCCATTTTCACTGCCCGGTAAGCGAGGAATCCGGGCAAAAACACAGTGGGCGGCCATTTTGGAATCGCCGATCAGCTGTTAAAAAATCATCGCTTTGCGATGATTGGTAAGCGAAACGGTACCGATCATCGCGAAGCAATTTTTCCCCATAGGGAACATTGCAATGCGATTGCTTTTGCGATCGCAAAATCTTTGTCGCTATGCGATTTCATGATTAAATGGGGCACCCGTTAAGCGAGGCACCACTGTATGTGGGCTTCTCTATGTGTAAAATCAGATTAGAAATGTTATTAATTTAAGGGAGGCTTGTTCCATGGTAAATTGACTGCAGATCTTAGTCAACATCTGTCAAATTAATTCTGCCTGAAGTTTAGCGGGTTGGGTTGCTTTCCAAACGACACAGTCTTTTTTCCCTGTTAAAATGTGAAACAAAAATCCTTAGGGAATTTGATCATGTGTATATACAACTGCAGTAAAAATTCTGAAGTCTGTTACTATACCTAGGAGTGAAAAGAAATTTGGGGGGGTGGGTTGGGGGTGATGCCTACCCTTGCTCCAGGGAGTATTTGCAGTGTTCTGTAGCAAGAATCTCTTTACACCTCTGACCCTGATGAGTCGGGAAAAGCTTTAGTGGCAGAAGTCAACTCTCGCTTGAACCCAGAAGATTCACAAACCTGATTTACCCATCGTTGTTGTTTAGTCGTGTCCAACTCTTCATGACCCCGTGGACCAGAGCACGCCAGGCCCTCCTATCTTCCACTGCCTCCCAGAGTTGTGTCAAATTCATTTTGGTTGCTTTGATGACACTGTCCAGCCATCTCATCCTCTGTCGTCCCCTTCTCTTCTTGCCATCACACTTTCCTAATATCAGGGGCTTTTCCAAGGAGTCTTGTCTTCTCATGAGATGGCCAAAGTATTGGAGCCTCAGCTTCAGGACCTGTCCTTCCAGTGAGCACTCAGGGTTGATTTCCTTCAGTATGGATAGGTTTGTTCTTGCAGTCCAGGGGACTCTCAAGAGCCTCCTCCAGCACCACTTTTTTACCCATAAGAAGCCCCAAACCAACCCCTTTCCTATCGGCGTTGTGGGTTTAATGGATACATTTTTGGAAAGGGGTGCAAAAGAGACATGTGATAGCTAGGCTAGCCACGGTATTTAAACTGAAAAATTCTCAGTCATCCTGTATATGTGAAAGGGAGGCCAGAGGGACAATTCCTAGTTAAGAAATCAAAAGGATTTACGTCAGAATAATCATGGTCGGAATTGCAAGGTGCAACCCTATGAGAATAGGAATATTTCACATTAATGTCAGCAGGTCTGCGTCCACATGCAGAGCGGAGGGGGAGCTTCATTTGAGGCAATCCTGGCACAGGGAGGTTAAAGCGTAAAAAAAATGCAGAAGAAAATCTGGAAAGGATACCGCTGAGCTCCCATAGGCACTGCATTGGAAATAAAACCGGGATACCTCAAAGGGTTCCAGTTCAACCGGGCGGTGCACACGTCGGGCCGCTCTGCCTGACAGCAGCGGGCGGGCGGGGGCGCCTCTGCCGGCCGGATTCCCGCCGGGACCGTTAAAGGGCCGCCGAGCGAGGCTCGCGTCCCGCGGGCTTCCCGCTTTCAGGGCGCTGTTGGTGCCATGAGGTGGCTGTGGCTTTTTCTGCAGGTCCTCGCCCTCGACGGCGCGCACGGAGTTAGAAGGCCGCGGGCGCGCGTCTATCCCAAAATTACGAACAGGACCTTCATAAATCAGTACCTCGAAGCCCACAACAGACTCCGCTCCCAGGTTGACCCTCCCGCCTCGGACATGTTTTACGTGGTGCGTGTCGGGGGGGGGGAGAGAGGAATGGCCGTGAACGGGAAGGTAGCGTGGGCGAGGGGCTGGGTCAATGGAGGGAGGGGGGGATTCTCGTCGTCCCCCCCTCCCCGCTTCCTCCGTTTTCTTTTTCTGTCCGGAGTGAGAAAGAGCAGTGTACAGGCAAGGCAGCTCGCGAATACCGCCTTTTAAAAGGTAGATTACTCAGGAGGACAAAGACTGCCGTTAGTTGGAATGGGGAAGATGCTTCGGGCATCTTGAAATTGGCAGGACATACTTTGTCAATAACATAAGCATGGGTAGCTTCTGACTGGAGCAGCGTCTCCAAATGCTGGGTTCGTGTCTCTCTTTCGTAAGCCACCCCGAATGCAAGAAGTAAATTTGTAAATGCAACTCTTAATATTGTCCCTAACTGGTATTCAGTGGTAGAGTGGTAAATTTGGAAGTGCCTATGCTCAATATGACAGTCTCCATAGCCAGCCTCCACCATGAGAAACAGAATTTAGAATTGCAGACAGATGGATTGATCCAACTCCATATCCATAAATGAGAGCCAGGTCTTTTATACACTTAACAATTCTTAATTTCTTGTTAATGAACACATACCCCCAATATTCTTCATTGCAACAAGGAGAGTTTGCAGTATTGTTCTTGGGAAAATCGATTTTTCTCCTATCTGTTTCAAACATTACAGCTAAGCTCAGAGAAGTAAATCTGTGTCATGTGACAGATAATGTCATAGATCTTACTGTTCTGTGAGTCCTAAGCTTTCTGTTGCAGAGTTTTGATTTTCTGGTAAATTATGCAGTGGAAGTACAGAGATCCAAAGAGGAGAATAGCTACAAATTCCCCAGAGTCTATACCTTTCTCATTAGGTAAGGTAAAAGTAAAGGTTCCCCTTGACATTTAGTCCAGTCGTGTCCGACTCTAGGGCACGGTGCTCATCCCCATTTCCAAGCCATAGAGCCAGCGTTTGTCCGGAGACAGTTTCCGTGGTCATGTGGCCAGCACGACTAGACACAGAACACATTACCTTCCCACCAAGGTGGTGCCTGTTTATCTGCTCGCATTTCACATGCTTTCAAACTGCTAGGTTGGCAGGAGCTGGGACAAGCAACGGGAGTTCACTCCGTTGCATGCATTCGATCTTACAACTGCTGGTCTTCTGACCTAGCAACACAGAGGCTTGCAAATAAAATGTCCAACAGTTTCAACCCTGCCAGCCCTGGTGCTATTACACCACTGCTGATATTATCTAGCAGGCCTGAAACTATTTGAAAATATACGTATCTATGGACTAGGAATATTTGAATTTTAAATTATATGAGAACTGAAAATTAGGAAGAGGTGTTTAATAAAAATGTGATTTAAGGAAGTGCATTATATCTTTATATTTTCAGACATGGGATATAGCTTTAGCTAGAACAGCTAGAGCATGGGGAAAGAGATGCATTTTTGAACATAACCCATTCAGGATGAAAAAAGGAGGTGGCCATCCTGAGTCTAAATTTCAGCCTCCAGGAGAAAACCTGTGGTTCGGAAGTGCACGTAGACGGCCATTTAATGCTACAGATGCTGTAAATAAATGGTACTCAGAGGTAGAATCCTACAGTTACCACAACAACTCATGTACACAACTATGCAGTCAATATAATCAGGTACCTTTTATTCTTCTGTTTTTAGATAATCTCAGTATTTGTGAACAAAACATCAAGAACCTGGATAATTTCAGATGACAATACTGGATTTATATAATACAATATTATAATGGTTCTAGAGTCCTTTTTGAACTAGTTTTCTGAGGCCAAGAACCCATAATTGTCTATTTGTAGGTAAATAAATAATATACATGGTTGAAATCTGGAAATCATTTTAAAATTTCGGAACGGGAGAAAACATCAGTTTCAGCTCTAAGGAGCAGTCTCAAAATTTGGAGGGGTTGATAAGATATTGGAAGGTTCTCAAAACAATTGCAGAAACTCTCTGAAAAAAGCTTGTGCTAAATCCTGGAGGGCACATTCATACCAGCAGAGTTCTTGGCATAAAAAGGAAGTGAAAATTGTCTTAGAATTGGTTGTACTTGTCTTGTTCCGCTGTTGCTCTGTTTGCATTTACATTAGCAGAAGGCAGCACAGGAATGACATATGAAAAAAATCATCACATACAGCAGGCAAAGAACTCAGAGGTGAAATGGAGCAATAAATAGTGATTCCACATGGAATTTATTACATATAGCACGAGAATGTTCCTGGGATGTATCCCAAAAGCATGGTGGTATGAACACATGAGAACTATCCTGCAGCACTCTAGAAACTGTGCAGTGATTTGCCTTAAATTAAGTCCAAACGTAAAAACCTTGCATAGCTAAGCTGAGTTCTTTGTAGGCTTATGGTCTTTTATTTTTTTAACAATTATCCATTGCTTTGAAATCCTGGGTTAGATTTCTAGCATTTCCCTAGACAGTCTGAATTGTTTCAGGTATAAAAAATGAAGGGCCACGCTTTGTGTACAAAAGGTTTTTTAAGATTCCTCAAATGTTATGTTTTTAAAAATTGCTCACGTTCTCATCCTCATATAATTTTTATTGCCTGAGATCTAAAACTTACCATACAGATTCTCATATTGGTTCCTATTTGAGCAAGGCAATTGATGCACAGAAACCCTGCTTAAAAATTAGGTAACTTCATTTGTATTCAGAAAGTAAACAATGAACATAATCAAATTCTTGAATTTCTTAAATTAACAGTCACATACCGGGTGATTGTAATACTGATCACTCCCTGGTGTGTAGTAGAGTAAAACTACGAACAAAGAGAGTATATCACACGAAAAAGGAAGGAAGACCACGTATTGACATCAGCAAGACTTGCAATCAAAGAAAAGTGAAGGAATTTGACCAAGCACTTGAGGAAGTCCTTCCAGGTCTGGCTAATGCAAATGCACCTGAACGATGGGAACACTTCAAGAACACTGTCTATAACACCGCCTTGTCCACCTTTGGCAAGAAGACCAAAAAGATGGCTGACTGGTTCGAAGCCCATTCAGAGGAGTTAATGCCAGCCATCGAGGATAAGAGAAGAGCTATAGCAGCATACAAAGCCTGTCCTAGCGAGTACAACTTGCAAGCTCTTCGAGCTGCTCGCAGTCAAGTCCAACAGGCTGCCAGGAGATGCTCCAACGATTATTGGCTCCAGCTCTGCTCTCAGATACAGTTAGCAGCGGACACAGGTAACATCAAAGGAATGTATGACGGTATCAAGCAGGCCTTAGGTCCAATATGGTTCGAAGCCCATTCAGAGGAGTTAATGCCAGCCATCGAGGATAAGAGAAGAGCTATAGCAGCATACAAAGCCTGTCCTAGCGAGTACAACTTGCAAGCTCTTCGAGCTGCTCGCAGTCAAGTCGGCAGGAGAGGAAGCTGAACACCTTCCATATGCTTTGCCTCCGACGGATTTTTGGCATCACCTGGCAGGACAAGTTCCAAACAGAGCAGTCCTAGACTGAGCTGGAATTTTCAGCATGAATACATTACTGAAACAGCGACGTCTACGTTGGCTCGGGCACGTCGTGAAAATGGCTGATGGTTGGATTCCAAAGGATCTCCTCTATGGAGAATTAGTGCAGGGAAAGCGCCCCAGAGGGAGACCACAACTGCGATACAAGGACATCTGCAAGCGAGATCTGAAGGCCTTAGGAATAGACCTCAACAGATGGGAAACCCTGACATCTGAGCGTTCAGCCTGGAGGCAGGCGGTGCATCACGGCCTCTCCCAATTTGAAGAGACCCTTGCCCAACAGGCCGAGGCAAAGAGGAAGTCACAAAAGCAGCAAAACCAGGGAGCCGGACAGGGGACAGACTGGATTTGTCTTCAGTGTGGAAGGGACTGTCACTCTCGAATTGGCCTTCTCAGCCACACTAGGCGCTGTTCCAAGCCCTCCATACAGAGCACGCTACCATAGTCTTTCAAGACTGAAGGATGCCTAACACCGGGTTTAAAAAACAAACTTTGAACTGTATAATGGATGGTGCCTTTTCTGACCTCATGAGAATTCCATTCTATTGATAGTTAAGGCTAGGGTTTAACACATTCAACTAGTATTTGTATTGCCTGAACCCACTGAGGATTTCAAATGACAGATCCCCCTACCAACCCATGTATTTTCGGCCTGCCTTGGGTCCTTTCCAAGGGGAAAGGTAGGGTAAAATATATATATAAAAACAGCAACATATGGCCATAGCAAATTATTACTGCTTTTGTTCACTAAATATCATGAAGAGACATTTTTGTCCCAGCAAGCTACATTGGCTGGGACAAAAAACCAAAACAAAACTAAAAACAGTGGCAAAATGTGATAGGTTTGTTGTGACATCTCCTCTGTGTTTTTGTATGTAAAGCAAACAAACAAAAAACCTGTATGTGGACAGTGACTGAAACTTGGAGATACTTTACAATTCCTGAGGTGACAGTGTTGTAGAATACTTACATTGTAAATCTAGGTCTGGGTAGATTATGTAACAAAATTTGACTCTTGGGATTAAAATGCCCCATCTTTTCCCACAAGGGATAATATTTTAATATTGCTTATATATATAGTAATATATAGTATTCTAACATATAACCATTACTGCTGTTTGCTAAAATGGAGGATAAAGGGCCTTTGGCCGATAAAAATATAGGGAAGGAATATGAGGCTAATGTTAATCTTATAGTCAATATTAGTAAAGTTTGTATCTTACTTGATTTAAATGTTTTAATTAAATTATACCTACCTTCTCAGGTTATTTGGGCTGCTACTTATAAGGTTGGATGTTCTGTTGTCTTCTGTAGCAAATTTGGCCGGCACAGAAATATTGAGTATTTTGTGTGCAATTATGGTCCACGGTAAGTTAATATGTATTGCTGTATATTTATGTTTACACTCTGTTTTCATGTAGTGTATTCTGAAATGCAAGAGTTGTGTAATTTGTGCAGTAATTTTAGATTTTGTAGATTATTTCACATTTAATGAATTATTTCAAAAGCATGTTTTATGTAGTCATTAGTAATAACAGTGAATCATCTCTCCTAAAACAAGCTATGATAGGGAAGAATTCAAGAACATGAGAGAGCAAAAATCCATTCATAGCTTTAGTTCCCTCATATGTAGGTCTGAAATGTATAATGAGACACAGCTTGGACAGGTTACTCTTTGGACTGCAACTCAAGAATCCCCCACCAACATGGCCAGTTACTAATGCAGTGGTGGGCCTGTTAGCTTTAATGTGGAGTATAATAACTACAAGTCACATTTAGCCACCCTCTCTTCAACTATCACTCATCAGACAACCTTCTGAAAGGGGTTAAGATGGGATGATAGTTTCCTACCAGTACAGAAGATATATGCTGAAAGGGTGGCAGTTGTCTCTCTTGGGAATCCCATTTACACCTACTAAAAACTACATAGGGATATATTTACTGGCACTGGTCTTCCCAGTGGTGGAAGCCCCAAAATAGGTTATGGATGGTTGAGACTGGTTGGATCTCCAATGTATCCGAGCATCGGGTCTTTGTGGATAATTTAGGAGTACATCACTTTGGATTGCTTTCTTATTAATTCTGTAGCTGTCACAGTTTATATTGAGTGCATGTAATAACACTGTTCAACTCCATTGATTCCACTACATTATATCATTTTATGAGTTGATGTCTTAATGTATAGAAATAAGAATTAAATACATATAAACATGTATTACATTTATAACAGCTTCCATTTCTGTCTTCAACGTAACTTGTGAGTACCTTTTTACTTATTTCTTTATCTTTCTTTATTTTGAAAATTTTGTTCCTTAGTGGCAAGTACCCACTGAAACCATATAAAGCAGGACCATCATGTAGTGCATGCCCAGAAGGAGATACTTGTGAAAATAATCTTTGTAGTAAGTATAGAATTAAATGAAGCAATTATTCATGAACAAAACAACAGCAACTATCATTTATATAAAAGTCTGCTTCTGAGCTCCATCTGTTTTAGTAAAACCTTCAAGTAAGTTTAAGTCAAGAACTAAGGGCAGGACTAGGTAAATATCATGTACAGCACCTGAGAAATATTGATGGAAAGCATTATCATAATTCAATATGGGTATGGCTAAAACTGGTGACCCTTAAGAAAGAAACGGAAGGCTTGATTTTTGTTGCACAGGAACAAGCACTCCAAACCAGCATAATGAAAGCTAAGATCCAAAGAATTGGTGCTAACAGCAAATGTCGACTCTGCCAAGGAAAAGATGAAACTGTGCTGTACCTCATCTACAAGTGTCCAAAGACTGCACAAACAGATTACAAAGTTAGACATGATAGATTGGCAAAGTTAGTTCACTGATCATTATGCAAAATATATACCGTGCCAGCCTCCAAAAACCCGTGGGAACATCAAGTAGAGAAGGTGTCAGAAAATGAGGAAGTCAAGATCTTGTGGGATTTCTGGATACAAACTGATAGACACCTTGAACATAACACACCAGACATAGTAGTACTAGAACAAAGAAATGTCCAGATCATTGATATTACAATTCTGGGGATACCAGAATTGAAAATAAAGAATTGGAAAAACTAACAAACTACAGAGACCTGGCAATCAAAACATCTCAACTATGGTTGAAACACACTTCACTGGTCCCTGTAGTCAATGGGGCTTTGGGAACAATATTAGGAAATTTCACACAGTATTATAAGCAGTTGCAGATTTCAGAAATCACACCATTAGAGCTACAAAAAACCAGCAATATTAGGAACAGCACACAACTACTGTATGTCAATATTTAACAGATACTTAGGTTTTTGGTTAAAACTTGCATCTGTTATGTAATACTAGTCAATATTTATATAATTTTGACTGTACCTGGTGTTTCTGAACAATAATAATCTTAGATAGTAATCAAGAATACCTCAGTAAGGATGCTCCTGGCCTTGATGGTCAACAAAATATACTTTATTCTTAAAGAACTGTCCTAAGTAGTTCATAGCTGCCCTTCTGAGTCCCAGCCTTCTTATGAGTTCTCGGTCACAATCTCCATTTGGACTGATGATTGAACTGAGGTCCCAAAAAATTTTATCAAGTTCTTCAACATTAAAGTTACATAATTCTTTTATAATTATTTTGTCTTCTTAATGTGCGACTGTAATCCTGTATATTTCCAATATGATCAATAGTGCATTTTCCTTTTCTGAATATAACTTGAACATCTGACATTTTTACTCCATACATGGTAGAAGTCTCACAATATGACAGTACGAAATATAGTATCACAGATTGTATCTTGCATTCTTTTTTAGTGTTTGTTGTTCATTGTCAATTCTTTAAAAGGAGTTTGTTTACTTACCAAAAAAATATTGCATCATACATTGATGGGAGTACATTTTGGAGGCTAGAATGTAAAGAAAGTGTTTTCATAATCTTGTAGTGTTTTACCTGAAAATCTCTCGATGGAAATACATAAATAAATAAATAAATAAATAAATAAATAAATAAATAAATAAATAAATAAATAAATAAATAAATAAAGATAGATAGATAGATAGATAGATAGATAGATAGATAGATAGATAGATAGATAGATAGATAGATAGATAGATAGATGGATGGATGGATAGATGGATGGATAGATAGATAGATAGATAGATAGATAGATAGATAGATAGATAGATAGATAGATAGATAGATAGATAGATAGATAGATAGATAGATAGATAGATAGATTAGATAGATAGATAATATATATAATTTTTTTCCAGGAAATCCTGAACGGGAGAAAGAAAACAGTGCCCGTATGTATTATACTGTAATTCTATATCCTAAAATTATTTTAGAAACAAAATAATCTTCAGTAAAAATTATTTTAATTTGTTTTAATAGGGTCTGCCCGATGGTATCCACCTTGGGGACACTGGATTATATGTGATGACTCCTGTATTGCTGTTGCACTTTTAAGGCCATCATTAATGTTTATTGTATTTGCAGCTGTTTGCTATTTACAACGTTATCAATATTTAAGTTGGCAAGAATGAACTGTTTGAAATACCTATAGCACAAACGTTGACCAGTAGCTCATATTTACATGTATTTTAACATTAACATTTTCCTATTTTACTTATTTCTTATAATACATGCAACTTTGTAAAGGTATAAAAAGTCAGTTGTCCTATTTAGTGAGTTGGTAATATTTTTAAATCAAAGAAAAAACATTTAATATCATATTGGACAGGTTAAACACTACAGTACTAAGACTTTTCAAGGATCCTGTACCATTAAATTACGCAGCTCCACTTTTACAGGTTCAGTATTATTCATTCATTCATTCATTCATTCACTCATTCATTCATTCATTCATTCATTTGATTTATATACCACCCACCTAGAATGTGTCTACTCTGGGCGGTTTATATATAACATAAAAATAAACAGATAATATCCAAATTAATCGAAGTCCAAGATGGGGAAAAGGAAAAAGGAGGATGGGGGAGGATAGGATAGGCAACAGCTGTAGGGAAGGCCTGCCTGTATAGCCATGTGTTCAAGTTAGTCTTCAAGACCCTCAGCAAGGAAGCCAGGTGGCTCTCTACAGGTAAGTTGTTTCAGAGGGCCACCGCCGAGAAGACCCAATTTCTAGTTTTTTCCCACTCACCCCCACTCATTTGTCCATTGAACGAGCCTTTTCAGACCGGGGGAAGTGAAACCAACATGGAGGATATATCAGGGGTCTCATACCAACTCTCTTCGGGCTGAAGAAGCTACTTGGATAAGTAGCGAAACGTTTCAGCCTAAGAAGAAAGAAGTTCAGTTGCCATGACTCAGCTCCCAGATGTAGTAGATAGAATGTTGGATTAGGACTCAGTATACCCCGTTTCAAATTATTGGTCAACCATGGGAATTCACTGGAGGTGGGATAGGGTAGAACTGCTGAAATAACTCCTTAAATATCTGACATACCTTGGAATCCTACTGCGTTTCCCCAAAAATAAGACAGGGCCTTATATTAATTTTTGCTCCAAAAACACATTAGGGCTTATTTTCAGGGGATGTTTAAATTTTTCTTGTGTACAACAATCTACGTTTATTCAAATACAGTCATGTCATCTTCTTCTGGTTGCTGCACAATGGTGGAGGGCAGAGTTTCACTTAAATAGGGTTTACTTTTGGGGTAGGGCTTATATTACAAGCATCGTGAAAAATCATACTAGGGGTTATTTTCAGGTTAGGGCTTATTTTTGGGGAAACAGTACTATGGTCACCATAAATCTGAATTGACTTGCCAGTATAAATAAATACTGATGCTGACTTGCCAGCACTTAGCACAAACTCTACTTAGAATAACAATCAAAGCTGTGTCCAGTTAAATCTCCCCACCCCTTACGAACAGAAAGATTTAGAGAAGCTATTTAATGGGCAGTTGACATGTTTGATCACTAATCCTTTAGCTGAGATAATCATGAAACAGTAGTATGGGCTAGATTTGTTTAAAATCTTTTTTAAAAACTAAAGCTGAAATGGGCTTTACAGATAGCTAAATCACAAAGTAAAACCACTTTTTAAATATTTCACATACTTCAGAAATGTTACTGGCGTCACTATAAGTTGAACTGAGTTGATAACACATAACAAACAACACAAAAGGGAAGCAAAGTGGCTGTTGTGTCATATAATGCTGAAGAAATTTTTAAAAACACAGCTTTCAACAGAATTGAAACAAACAAATAAAGCAGAGTTCAGCCATCCTGATGGGCACTAGGATAGAAGCAACCCTGAAATTGAGCAGGACAAGTATACACCATAACCCCTGTAATTGGCACGCATTGCAAAGCATTTGAGGTGACCAGAGACTGGAAACCACTGAAAATGACTAATGCAATAATAGTAGTCAATACGTTTTTAAAAAATCAAATGTGTTAATATTCATTATTATTTTGCGAAAGCACAATAGCCAAAATCCTGTTGCACAGCTACATCTGCATAATTCTAAGTTGCTTATGTGGTTGCAAAATTTGCTCCAAGGCAGAAGTCATATACTGCAAGCAGTTCTGCAGATGCAGTTGTTCAACTGGTAGCACACTCAATTGCATGATCAGTCATACAATATGGACTATGTGGGCAAACTTCCATAGGTGTAATTTTACTCTACATCAAGTGCAAAAGGATTTCAGCAGTCAGTTGTTTTAAAAAGCAAAAGATTAGCACAGCCATAAAACCTGCTAAGAATGTTGTTAGAAAAACCATAACGTATTTACATAAAAACAAGACGTTTTCTTACCAAGAACCAGTAAAAGAACGTAGAGCTGGTATATGGGGATGTATGTTGGTGTATGAGGCACAGGAATTTAAATCCCCATTGTACCTCCCAGGAGAAGAGCCAATCAAGATCTCCCAGAGAATGCATAGCTGGGGCGGCCCTTGCCTTGCCCCCTATATGACTGTGGACAAGCTGCACCATCTCAGAGTGCCATGAGAAGGAGGAACGAGAAAATCAACTAGGAGGGTTACCATAAGTCATAAACAAATTGCCAGTGTATTATTAATAATCACAGTAGCAAAGGAACTAAAACAGAGTTGTGGGTAGGAAATGAGGACATGAGCAGTGTGGAGACCTTTGTTTAAATAAAAGATAGAGTAGCCCCCTCTCCCTACAGCAGGATTCAGCAGCACCCTCTTCTGCAAAAACTATAGTAGATAATGTAACAAATAAGGCAACAGAAAGAGAAGGAACCACAACTTTAAGGAAATATGTTGTAAACTGTCCAGAGTGGCCTTTGGCCAGATGGGTGGACTAAAAATGAAATGAAGAAGAAGAAACAATAATATAGCAGGAAATTTTCCTTTCAGCAAGCAAAGAACATGCTACTTTATAGAAGTATCATTCAATTCTTTCTCCTTTATTAAGCATTGCTGTGTAAGCAAAGGAAGATCAGTAGATACAACACCTCACAACTGGGAGGTCTATTTCTTAACTTCCTGAGAAAACAGCACTTATTTTTCCTTCGTGGCTGTGACGGATAGGTCAGTAACCACTCCTGTCCATCACAATGGAACCCTGATTTAACAACCAATATGTGAACAGAAGAGGCAGAACTAAGAAAATATAAGAAGAATGGAAGACAGATAAAGATCAGTTAGGGATATGAGTTAGAGTTAGGGACTTCAGTTAAGGATATTAGAAGCAGTTTAGGCAGTTAAGACCAGTCTTGTGTTAGAGAAGAATAGAGAGATAGAGAACAAGATAAGAAATGAATAAATACCTTGATTAACATGATTATACATAAGCAAATATAAATGTCATAAAAGCACAGTTTATTGAATGAATAAAATAAGACCATCCATGATTTACTTTATATGATTTACTTATAAACACTCAAATAAACATTGTTTTATGGAATAACACTGATAGAGTGAGGAATAAATCCTCTGGTGGCAGCAAAAAGGGTTGAAAAGTAAATGCCATACCCGAAAGTGAAACTGGGTTGTGTGGAAGAACAAACAGGGGAACTGGGTGTGTGTGACAGTGGCCTTATTTCATTGGTTTCTAAGCAGACATGTTTGGGGTGAGACCAAATTTGGACTATAAACATATCATCTATTTCTTTCTGACAGCTAAGCAAATTTTTTCCAATGTTGTGTAAAATGTGGGAAATGTCTCTTTAAAAGAAAAATAAATGTTTGCAGAAAAAGCTTTGCAAGTGAGAAACTACTATCTTTTCATTCCAACAATAGTTTGCTTGTTTCTACTTCTACAAGTAGATCAGTAGATCTACTTGCAGAAGGCTCCAGCCGCTGGAGGGGCCTTGGACCTCAAACAGCGTAGCTGGCTTTTGCCCACCACCTGGGATATTGCAAGACGGATTACTGCCTTGTAACTCACGAGGAGGAGGGGAAAGCCGGCTGCTTAAGGAGCTTTCCCCTCTAGGACCTCCCTCTTCTTTTCGGGCAGCCAAGCTAGAAGGGTGCCAATAGAAGGTGTGTTGCTGTTCAGCATGTGGTTGAGGATTTCAGATCACTTGGAAGTGAACACCATTGCTGGAGAAGTTTGGACGCCACAGAAACGGGACGAGGAGTCTGCTCCTCAGATGTCGAAGGCACAACCTGCAGGGAAGGAGGGACAATGGCTCCCTCCTTGGGCTGAGTTTCCCTTTTCTTATTACTCTTCTGTTGTTTGGGGAATTCTTTAGTGGACCGGCTTAGCGTGGTTAGGGCTGTTTGCAATTTTACAGAAGTTCCACAGCTCCTACAGGAAAGCTGTGCCGCAGTTTGTGCGCGCCACAGCGCTTGTGCGCAGGAAAGGGGTTTTAAAGCAGATCAAATTGAAAGTTGGGGGAGCGTCCCTTCAGTTATCACTGCTTACTCTGCTGGTCCATCCCAACAGAGAGGGAGTTTCCCAAACCACCAATGGAGGGGCCGCCAACCCTCAGGACCTCCGTCTTGTCCGGGTTCAGTCTCAGCCCATTCTCCTGCATCCATTGCAGTACAGCCTCCAGACAGCACTGAAGGGACAGAACAGCATCCACTGAAGTAAGTGAAAAGGAGATGTAGAGCTGAGTATCACCCAGCAGCCTCACGTAGATATTAAACAGCTTTGGGGAGATAATCGAGCCCTGCGGAACCCCACAGTTGAGACTCCAAGGGGCTGAGACACTCTCCCCAAGCTGTACTCTCTGAGGGCGGTCTTCCAAGAAGGATCAGAGCCAGGCAAGTGCCAGCCTGCTGATTCCTAACTTGGAGAGCCTCCCCAGGAGGATACCATGGTTGATGGTATCGAAGGCAGCTGATGTTGTTCCCCGCCAAACTCAGTTTCTTCCTAATGGGCCTAATAAGTATCTCCTTGAGGGCAAGGGGAACCTTGCCCTCCTGGAGAGACCCATTAATTATTGCTGTAGCCCATTCTGTTGTTATAGGCCTGGCTGCTTTGATTAGCCAGGCCGGGCAAGGGTCAAGAGAGGAGGTGGTGGCATGACAGTGGTCAAGCACTCTGTCCACCATATCTGACGTCACAGATGGTCTAAAGAGAGGGGTAGAGTGAGGGACAGTAGAGCCCCCATATCACCTCCCCTTTTGGAGCGTATATGTGAGCAGTGGCGGCATCTGTGCAGGGACGAGTATGAGAAAAAATTATTCAATGCCTGTCGGATTTAGCATTTCACACAAAAATTACTAGTTATCAGGATCTTTCAGGGGACTATTGAATTAGAAAAGTGTTAGAGGGGTGGTCTAAAGAGAGGGGTAGAGTGCGGGACAGTAGAGCTCCCATATCACCTCCCCTTTTGGAGCATATATGTGAGCAGTGGGGGTATCTGTGCAGGGACGAGTATGAGAAAAAATTATTCCATGCTGTGTCCCTTATAGTATTTTTCGGTGCCCTCAGGATTAGCAAGTTGGTAGCTGGGAGTAAATCAGACAAATCTAGGTTAGCTCTACAATGGCAGGATGTTAAAGTCAGGGATGGAAAGGTAGAACTTCTGATTCGGTGATCCAAGGGTGATCAATTGGGCAGGGGTAAACAGTATTGGGGCTATGCACCATTGAGAGCCTATGCCCAGTCAGAGCCACGAGGGTGTACTTAGAGCAGACAGGGCATGGCACAGGTTATTTTTTCCAGCACGCGATAAGTCCCCATTGACCAAATATCAGTTCTGGAAATTGACCGAATTAGCATTGCATAAGGTGGGCATTACGGGGGCAAGGTTTGGCATCCATTCATTTAGGACTGGAGTGGCATCCACTGCAGCAGCCATGAGTTACAGCATGGGGGCAATCAAGCACTTGGGCCGATGGTCCAGTTATAAAAGATACATAAGGACCCTACCTACTTGGTAGGCAGGGGCCTGACCTATGTTTTTACAGGTCTGGGGTCAGGAAGACGAAAACAGACAATGATCATTAACCATAGTTATGTCTACTAGGCTGAGTTCTATTCAGCTACATCCCCCTGGGGGACCAACCCGGGGCTTGGAGTCCAGGGCCACATTACATGGAAGGGGCTGTGTGGCATGCAGTGGGTCCAGTTATGCAGAATGATGTCATTCAGTCAGTTCCCACCAGACCTGCTGGTGATACATCTGGGAGGCAATGATTTGCTGAGATTGCTAAGTAAGGCACTGATCCTGGATATTCTGCATGACCTTAAGTGGTTGATCCTGCGATGCAGATCTTATGGTCCACAATTATTCCTCGGTTAGCCTGGTGAGGCTCTGAGAGGACTACTATTGCTAACAAGGCCCGGCAGGGCATCAGCAGGGAAGTATGCAGAGGCGTCTGCAGCGGCATTGGGGCGGTGATAGGTCACCACAGGATCCATTTGGAGAAACCTGATTTGTTCAGGAGTGACGGCATTCCTCTTTCAGATACGGGTTTGGAGATCTTCTTGAAAGACATTAGAGGGGACCTGCTTGCTGAGCTCGAAGGGCTCTGTGGCGGGCATGTGACATAGCTAGGCTAGTCCCTATGCTGTGTCAGGTACTGCGGAAACAACAGGTATTTCAGGTGGATCCCACTGTAATTTCAAGTAAGCCGACAGTGCATCTGACCTCCCAGCACTGCGGATCGTGCGTTTACAGTGCCTGAGGCAGGAAGATGTACTGGGCCACTTCCGGACCAACAGCCCTCAATTAAAGGGGGTTTGAGCTCTGGGGTTGTTGATTAGCAGCTGGCCGGGTGTGGAACCCGGAAACTGGGTCATGAAACTATGGTTGGAGTGCCGTCTCTCCCCAAACCATCCAAGGGGACCCAGACGCCTCCACCCCCTATTCCTCCTAGATCAGTGCATCAAGGAGTTAATACCCAAGACTTAACCCGGGGGATGAAGGGGTTAACAGTATCCACCCAGACCTACCCTGAAATGGTGGGAAGAAAGGAGAGTGGGCGGTCTGGGGTGGAGGCAGGCATGGGTGATATAAAAGGGAATCGGGACGAGATCCCAGGTGGTTGGGAGTTGATTTGGATGCAGGACCCGTGGACTGGGTGATGGGAGCAGGTCCGGGTTCCAAAGCATGAGGCAGAGAGTCGCAGGAGGAAAGAACTCCCACAGCGCCTATCGTACTGGGGTGAATCTGAAACCCGGGAGTGGCGACGTAAGCTGAGGGAAGAGAAAGAAGTGGCTGAACGAGAGCGAGAGGCAAAAAGGGCATGGCATCTGGAGGAGTTGAAGAGACTGGGGTGTTACCTGGACCTTGGAGTGCCAACCCAGGAGAAGGATCGCCGCTTTGGGGCTGGTCGGGGCATGAAGAAACCACCCCCTTACTGATACCGGACGTGGGAGATGATGTGCCCCAAGAACCTGAAAGGGTTCTGGCAGGTCCCTGGGAGCACCACCCTACAAACCCTTTTGAAGTGGACATGTGGTTGCCCCTGTCTGAGTTGTTGCTCACTCAGGAGAAATTTGTTCCCCGTTTACGTGATGTTTCTGTGCCATTGCCAGAATTAATAAATGAAAACACCACTTTGGATCTTAAAACGTCTCTGACTTTATTTGGGGAAAGGGAGGTCCCGTGAACTGAACCCTCACACCAGGTTCCTGCTATCCTTAAGATCACTAGAACCTGGGGCTGGGGATTCGCCCTTTCATTAACCTTGTCATATAACTGTTTCTGCATTAAAACAGGCCCCCTCCTTTTTAAAAAAAGAATGCTTGAATTTTGGATATGATTCTATATTAATAAAGTGTGGCCCGTATTTAACCCATATCACTGTCTCACGGTTTATTCCGGGGTTGGGAGGGCAAGTGGATATTTTGTGGCAAGAAAGTCTCATTCAAATGAAGGGGGAGCTACACAGCACCCACGGTGCTTGGTGAATTGATAACAGCTTTTTATATGCCAGAAATAAAAGATAAATCTTATCCATTTGTTTTAAATACTGTAGCTGGCACTCTGTCTTTGTTTTGTTTGAGTACAAAGTTAAATTAAGTTTCTAAATTAAAGAAACTGTTTCCTGTACACTTGTTTCTCACCACAGTAGTTCCTGTTATTATGACACTGTTAAAACAGACTTTCCTTGTAAAGACAACCTTGACTATAATGCTGCCTAAGAGGTTTGTGCAGTAAGAGGAGCTTCTTGCAATACATAGTGAGAAAATGGTATTCAGAAAAATAATGACATTCAGGTTTTTATGTGGAGTATGGATATTGCTGGATCTCTTTATTGCCTCTTATACATATGATCATACTTTGTTGCCTGATATAGAAGATGAAAAGTTTATAAAGGACTGTGTGAACCACCACAATTATTTTCGATCCAGTGTGAACCCTTCATCCAGCAACATGCTTCAGATGGTAAGAAAAAAATCTGTATCTTTGTACAAGAATCTCAAATAAAAAAAGCCATGCTATTATTTCAAAGAGCCAGACAGCCGATAGAAATGCAGCAGTTCTTGTACATCTAGAATTTTTTCAGTGACTGTTAAAAACGTGGCTTTTCTGGCAGGCCTTCCTGGACCTTACAACATCTTAATTGCAACACCTAATTACAGTGAGTGGTCTCGACATTTATACTATCAATCCTGCTGTCTTGATATATTATATTCTTTTATATTGTTTTAACTATTTTATTTAAATTGTTGGTTGTTTTATTTTTATTTTATATTATTATGTTCATTGTTGGTATAGTGCATGTTTTATTTGTTTAACCTGTACACCTCCCAGAGTGGCTTAGTAGCCAAATGGGCGGTATAGAAGCCAAATAAATAAATAAAAACACATTTTAGTAATGCTTTCAGTACTGTTTCACATGAATTGCTCATAAACAAGTTATATACCTAAGAATTAATTTTGCTAGTGTGTCTCTCTAACCCTGCCCCCTGCATTTCTGAATAGGAATTATGAGCAAAGGATAAAACATTGCACAATACATTTAAGATACTAGAATGGGTTTTATAATGCAGAATGAAAACAGTTCCAGGTTTTAACAGAAGAAATAGGGAATTATAAAACAGAGTAATCAAGGATGATAACTTAAAGCTTTCTCTTAGTATTAAAAGCCCATTATGGTTATGAATGTACTGGAATTTAAGAAATTTAAATGCAAGAATATAATTTAAATACTTCTGCTGTTTTGTATTATATTTTGTCTGTGGTAATCTGGTATTAATGTAACATGAATGTACTGGAATTTAAGAAATTTGATGTACTGGAATGTCTGTGGTAATTTAGTGTTAATGTAACATGTGTGCATTTATTTATTTTTTCTCCAAAAAGATAAACGTGCATTTATCTTTTAACTTTGCAGACCTGGGACCCTGCATTGGCAAAGACAGCCAGAGCATGGGCAAAGAAGTGCCACTTTGGCCATAATGTTTATCTCAAAATTCCTAGGAAGGTTCACCCTTATTTCACCCCAGTTGGAGAAAATATTTGGACTGGCTCAGCCTCTCACTTCTCTGTAGAAGAAGCCCTCCGTATGTGGTATGATGAAGTGCATGCCTACAGTTTTGAGAGCCAAACATGTGCTAAAGTTTGTGGCCATTATACTCAGGTGATTCTTTATTTCTCATTCTGCCATCAGAAGTGATAAACTATAAGTATGAAAAACAGATGCATTAATAGAAGAAACTCTAGCTTCACCAGTTGCAGTATCAGATAGCAAGAGTAAGAAATATTTTGAAAGTGGTCATAATGCATACCCACTGTAGCACTCATGTCTCTATCTGGATGTGCTGCCACCCAAGCAACAACAATCCTCAAACCCCTGCACTAATTATAAGGCAATTGTTTGAACTTGAGCAAAGGGACTCCTTGTTCTGGATTATTGCTATCGCTGGAACTAGGCAAACAGCCAGGGTTCTTCTTTAAGTGCTTTTCATCACTGCCACAGTGAAGGGCTAAATTTACATTACTCTATTAAGAAGAGTAAGACTGTTTCTGGTGAAACACATGGCCTTAGGGTGCAATCAAACAGCTCATTATCTCTAGTTTTGGACTGTTTTGGGAGCAAGCTGATTCATTCTGTTTTCTGACAATCATGAACCAGTCCAGTCCTTATCCATGCCAACTATACTTTTTTGATCCCTAGCAGGAGCTACTTTTTTTAAGCACAGCTAGGGTCACTTAATTTTAGTCCAGTTTCTGGCATGCCTGATCACTCATGTTGAACGAAAGCAGCTTTGATAGGTGTCCCCCGCCCCCACAATTTCGTGCCATGTCAATTGGGTGGCAAGCCAATAAAGTGATATGTCCCTTACCAATAAATGTGGGAGAGGGGAATCCAGTTTTCTCTTGCTTGTGCCAGAGAGAGTAATAGGAGATTATAGACAGGGTGATCCGTACCTTTTTTTCTCTTTGCAATCCATTACGGCTTTATTTTGGTGGCCAACCTTTTTATTTAGTAACCTCATTTATATTCCTCTCTTCTGCCCATGGGGGACCCAAGGCAGTTCACAATAACCAAAACTATAAAACAACCGTATATAAAAATCATATGAGCAAATAAATCGGCATATATCAAGATTAAAAACAATTTTAGAAAAACATTTACAAATTTGTAAGTTAATAAACAAAACTAGATTAAAAACAATTTTAAAAAACATTTACAAATTTGTAAGTTAATAGACAAAACATTCCCGAGACACTTGCTGCTTAAACGCCTACTTGAAGAGGAAGATCTTTGCCTGATGAGGGAAAGACAAGAGGGAGTCTAAAGAAGCAAAAGGGGTTGGGGAAGCAGAAAACATTTTCCCTGTCTTCACAGAAGCAGTACAGAAAATTAGCTTGAAGTAATAGGCCAAGGGGCAGGCAGAGTTGAGGTGCATTTCAGTGGAACAAATACTAATGCTAACATTACTGGTTCTGAATAATGCTTAAGTAATTATCGTGTCGGTTGTTAACTGGCATTCCAGCAGCTTAAATGTAGCATGCCAATTTAAATCTTGACCAAACTCTACTACGTAATTCTTTTCTCTGTCTTAGGTTGTTTGGGCAACAAGCTACAAAGTTGGGTGTGCAGTCCAGTTTTGCCCACGTGTTTCAGGCTATGAAGAACTCTCCAATGGAGCACATTTTATCTGCAACTACGGACCAGCGTATATATATATATATTTTTTCTCATATTTTAAAAGACATTCAGTTAATAGAGTTTTTTTTTTAAAAAAAGCTCGTACTGTTCTGTGGAGTGTTCTGACATTTATTCTGAGTAAAGGAGATTGCAACCATTTCTTATTGACCTGGAAGTGCTGTAACCTTAGGGCTGTATTAACTTCAAATATGGCAGAAGAGGATGAATTTTATTTCTTATCAGTTTTATATATACCATCTTCACTGAATACTTTTCCAAAAGGCACCTTGTTTACAAGTTTTGCTCACAAACCATTTAAGCCAACACACTCACCTGGTGATGGCTTTTACCTCAATCATACAAACCATAGTACATACTTTTTTAAAAGCCTCGAATAAAGTCACAACAATAGCAAGTGCAAATGCCACTCTTCCTTCATTTTTAACCCTGAGGTGTGTTTCCTCTGTTCTGTGTAACAGCCTGGCATTAAAAAGGAGGTACAGCTATGGTCCTGATGCACAATCCTCCAAGTGTAAAAGTAGCCCCAAGCGGGGCTATGGTTAATGTAATTTTGAGAGGTGAATCAATTCCTGTTTCAAAGTGCAAAATATAGGTCTGATTGCAGTGACATAAAGTCACCTGTACAGTTAAAACAATTGCAGAGAGTTAAGCACACCATTCCATTTTTGAAACAAAATGCCTATAGCTCTGCATCGCAGTTGCCTAACAACTACCTCAAGTACACAAAATCCAGAGAAAATCTGGGCATGTATTGCTGTGTCTCAGTGAAATGAATGGCCATAAAAATACATGTGTAAGCCCATGTTGTTGTAAATATTCATACCATGTTACAGTAGGAACACATTATCCATTGGGTATCGGTTCCAAGACCCCCCTTCCGTCGATGCCAGAAATAGTGGATAAGCAAAGCCCTTCTTTCCAGTTTTTTTTCCATGTATGTTTGAGATAGGGAGCCCTGACCTGGCCCAATCTTGCCAAAGAATTGAGTTTCCTGCCCTCCTGTTCTCAAGGGAGGCTTCCCTGAAACCAGCAACCTTGAGAATGGGTGTTTCTGGGTTTTATTTATTTAAATGTTTTGAATAATTTTTTTTTCAGGCAGCAGGTAAGTGAAACCATGGGTACTGATTCCATGGACCACTGTATATGAACACTGGCACTACTGTACATATAACCATATCAGTTCTATCACTTCACACATCATTGCCTTTATTTTTATAGAGGGAATTTTCCAACGAAACCTTATAGAACAGGAAGACCATGCAGTGGATGTAATGGTGAAAAATGTGTACGTGATCTTTGTGGTAAGTATGCTTACCACATTTATGAAGGTGAAATTTCTGCATCTACTTATAATTCTCATCAAATGTTTATATTCTCATTTGATTAATACCAGACTACTGGAAATTGTCTGTTATTTGAGATTACCTTCCAAAAGAAATCAAAAGAATGCATAGAAGCTTTTGATTTACAGTTATAACCAAGTACAGTAATCACTTACACAAATGCCTTTGAGGACCATTTCAGTTTCTTTTTCATAACAAGAGTTGCAGAACGGCTTTTGTGAAGTGTCATACACATTCCTGATGTTAAGCAAATTGCTTGCATATTGAAAATGTATAAGGCCGAGACATGGATTTGGAGCATCAATAGCTCTCCTTTTGATGAAAAAGGCATACATATAAAGTTGGATATCATTAGTATAATTACTGGTGATATTTCAGACCAAATCTCTATGACCTCCTTCCCCTTAGCTTTATATGCAACAGAGACTTCACCAACCAATAAAAGGAGAGTCTTGTCTTTAGTGCTTACGTCTCTTGGTTCAGCGAGGGAGGCAGATGCCTTATATCTTCCCAGTTGCTGGGTAAGAAAGGATGTTCATTCATACATGCAGAGTGAAAAGGGGAAATTCCTTCATACCTGCAGAGTGAAAAGGGGACTCACTACTGAGTAAGTCAGGGCCTCCATCTGCTTATCAACAGTGGACTGAGGGGATAAAATCTTTGTAAGGTTATTTTGAGATTTTTAAAAGTATATGTTATGGATGAGTCCTGTATAGGCCAAGTGCTAGCATTAGGGTAAAAATGCACAGTCCTGAAAGACAGAGACTCCTCAGTTCTGCCACTTGAGTTCAGTGATGTCATACAGGGATCAGTGTTGTCTGGACAGAGAACAACATTTCCTTCAGAATAACTTATTGTCCAGAATCCTTTTGCTTAAAGTAGTAAATTGCACTAAAGTAGGCCCATTGAATCAATGGGGATTAAGTAAGTCAACGCCTCTCTAAATTCCATTGATTCAAATGGGCCTACTGTAACTGCATCTTACAAAGCTAAACTAAGTCAAGGTTAGAGTAGACTCATTTGAATCAATGGAATTCATACAGCAGCTCACTCACCAAGTCCCCATTCATTCAGTGGACCTACTGTAATGCAATTTACTATGCTAAACAACAGGATTTCAGCTATTGTGATTTGAAAACTGGTAAGATACATAATTGCTATATCATTCATCCATTGATTTCACTTCTATACTACCCCACTAGTTATCACTGGCTAGAAATGCTTACCTGAGAAAAGATATCTGGGCTTAAATCCAATTGTTAGTTCCAACTAGAGCAGATCCAGTAAATCATTAGAGCCTCCTTTAGCCCCATCATTGCCTATTCTATATGAGCAGCAAATTTATTTTTGTTTTGTTGTAAGGTGTAATTGATTTGTGGAAAGTCCTTTCATGTTATAACACATGTCATCATTCCTGCAAGCAATATTTCTGACATATTTAATGTGCAGCAAATGCTTTCCTGGATGTTGATTGTTTTAAACCATGAGTGAGGAGCTTTTTCATCCCAAGCGCTCAGTACCTATCCATATTAAAGAGAAATTATTCAATATAGAGAACAATCACTTGGATTTAATGTTTATACTTTCTCTGCATTCTCCAGCAAATCCAGAACGGGACCAATTGATGAGTATGTATTCATTATTGTTACTTACATTATCCTCATTTTTATTTGGAACACCTGTAATCTCTCTCTAGGGCTAATACACATTTATATTCTAGGTTACTCCAACTGGTCCCCAGACTGGGATGAAACAGAGTCCTCACCGAAAGCTCCTTCGTATCCTGGTCCATACTCAACATGTGATTCATACTGTATTGCTGTTTTAATTTTAAGATTATTGTTTGTATCACTTACTGCTGGCACAGTAGCTGTTTTATTTAGGAAGTATCCTCAAATGTTTATGTATGAATAAGCTCTCTAACCTAGAACTTTAGGAGTGTAAGCTTTGTGGACACATCTAGCTTTCAGGGTTCCACCTAAAATAGCAATATAATTATAATTGCTATATAATTGTTAATATAATAGCAATATCTTCCAACATGAGAGAGTAGAATTTTTTGTGTAATATTTCAAATACCATGATCAACACTGTTCCATGTTGCAGAAATAGTTACATCACAGGAAGTTAGTCAGAAACTCGTCCTTGGCTGTAATCATGTGATTCTTTTGAGCATTGGCCCTTTACACTTTGAAATCACATTTAGAAGTTTATATCATATTCTGTGGTTTCAGTATCCCACAGTGGCTATTGACTTGCTTCTTTCTGCCCCTCATTTTTTGCCCACAAGCTGTGCATTTTGAATACTGATATCAAGCTATAATGTTTTATCTCAGTTTTATGCATTTCTTCCCCACCATAAAGGATCATTGGACTAAGTAGGCGTGGGATTTTTGGAATACAGGGACTACAGACCTACAAGCCTGCAGGAATTTCCCAAACCGGATGATGCTGCCATCAGTGTTAGAAAGGGCACTTTATTTTGACAGACATCTAGTAAAGCAGTCAGTCATAGCAGTTTTGTATATTTTTTTTTGTAATACAGTTTTGCAATACAGACCTTTTTTTGAAAAATTTAAATCTGCCCTCACATCTGTTGCTGTTAATTACTCTTAAATACTCTCAACCAAATTGACTGTACTAGCTTAAAATTATGCCTCCTGCTTTAACTAACGTTTCAAGCCTTTGGAGGGTTCATTCTCTTTTATCATATGCTAAAGAACAGAGTGTTCTTTAGCGTAAGATAATAGAGTGAAAATTGGTGGAAGAAATATCAGTTTAAGGTATGCAGATAATACCGTTTTACTGGTAGAAAGCAGCAGTGATTTGAAATGAAAGAATAAAATTCCAAAACAAGACTGCAGTTGGACTTTGAGAGGACAAAAGTCTTGACTACAGAAGAACAACACATATTCAATGTTGACAATGAAGAAATTGAAATAGTGAAAGATTTTGTATACTTAGGTTCAATCATCAATCCAAATGGATAGTGTAGTCAAGAGATAAGAGATCAGAAGAAGACTGAGACGGCCAATGATGAAGGAATTAGAAATGATCATCAAGTGAAATGATCAGCAAGTCTCTGGAGACCAAGACCAGGATAATCCACATTGTTTTATTCCTAATCTTTAAGTACAAGTGTGAAAGCTGGACAGTAAAGAAAGCTGGCAGGGAAACAAATTGATTTGTTTGAAATATGGTGCTAGAGAATTGCTTTGCAGGAAAGACAAACAAGTAGGTCCTACATAGAACAAATCAAAACTGAACTGTTAGAGCTCTGTGGTTTAGATATCTGGCTGCATAGCCAGAGGCTGGGAGTTCAATTCTGCATTGTGCTTTCCTGACAGAGGCTGGACGTGATGAGCCATAGGGTCCCCGCCAGCTCTGAAGTTCTAATGTGATGATGGTGATGATGATGATCTCTGGAGTAAAAAAAATGATGAAACTTAAGCTGTCATACTTAGGACAGATCGCGAGAAAGAATGATTCTCTGGAAAAGACAATAATATTGGGAAGGTTGAGAACAGCAAGAAAAGAGGAAGACCAAATATGAGATGGAGTGACTCACAAAAAGAAACTACAGGCTTGAGTTTACTATCACTGAGCTGAGTTTACAATCACTGTTGAGATCAGGACATTTTGGAGATTGTTCATTCATAAGATTGCCATAGGTTGTAGGCGACTTGACAGCACATAACAACAACAATGAACAGAAGCCTCATCATAGGATAAAAATTCTAAATTGACTTCAGACTCTTCTGTTACTATCTTTATTGTTTGTAAGATATTGGTGTGCTCATATCAAAAAGGGTGTCATTCTATGCCCAATGTGGACCAGCTTTTCTTTTTAAAAGAGTGGAATTCTGTTGTTAAAGTAATACTTCTTAACTACAGTATTTATTATTTGGCAACATGTATTAGAAATGTTCTCTAGCTCTTGGATAAAACTTTGGAAAATTGATTTCTGTGCTTGCAGACTTGTGACTATTGCTGATATTACCTGTCTCATGGAATAGAGAGGAAATATACTGTGTCTGGATTACAAGTGATATTCTTTTCTAAGAATAAACTATCTGTTTTTATTAACTGCACTAATTTGTATTTGAACCTTTTGCCCTTATCTGCACACTAAACACTGTTATGCTACACAATTCTGCTCGATGCAAGTTCAGTATTTGTGTTAGAAACAGAGATTTTAGATATGTCTAACCAAGTTCCTTTATTTTATTTGCTGAATGTGATTTCCGGCCATTTCCACTTTCTGAGGCAGAGGAAGGCACTTATATTGTACAGTATAACCAATCCATAGTTAGCTAGAAGTTTACATGTGATCAACAGGTAAAAAGTAGCCTACTTAATTGTTGGGTTGGTGAGCAATCTTATCAGGAACTCCACCTGGATCGCGTCATCAATTAATCTCCTAACTGGGGTTGCCTGTACACTGTACATTGGGCCAGGAAGCACAAAAGATCATAAAGTGATCCTTCAAAATGTCAGAGGGAACCACTAGGGACATTTTTTAGATTACTTCTTATTTTTGACATGTGCTGCAGGACATAGATGAGAAACTGCTGGTTTACTTGTTCTCTAATGGTCTTGTTCATTTTTGTGAGCACCTCCATTGCATAAGAATAAGAAACAAACTCTTTTGAAGGCTCCTCATCCCAGGCTTTCCAAGACGAGGGCTTCCGTGCTCTCTTCGTCAAGTACACCGCCGAGGTGGTGGCCTTGGAGTGCCAGCGGGTAGTGCCAGGCGGCACTCAGGCTGCCCCACCAGCACCCAGCCAGGGCTCAGGTGGAGGAAGCGGGCCTCAATGCACCGCTGGCACTCCAGGGCCACCACCTCAGCGGGGTACTCGGCGAAGAGAGCGGGCGAGGGGGCGGAGATCCATGTCTGCAGCCCAGTTTAAGGAAGCCCACAGACCGGCACCAAGCTGTGGACCAGGGGTTGGGGGAATCCTGATCTAACTCACTGGCTGTATTCCACCTTTTGACTCTGATTTAAGACTCTGCTGGCCAGTTTATTTGCTATCTATGCTTTCACCTGCCCTGAAAACAGCTCCCTTGTAAGCAGGACTTTTTCATCACATAAAGCATCTGGTGATAAATACCAGGATTCTGCTGTAACCTTTTTGACTTGTGCAAACACTATTTTTATAATAGTGAAGCCCTTGATCAGCCTTGCTATGGGATCACAAACCAAAATACCTCCTTATGGTACATCTTCATTTCTTTTGACCATACATGTTCTTTGTTCTCTTCACCTTTCCCACCATCTTACCATGTTATTACAGCCATCCAAAAAGGTGTGGAGGTTTCTTTGGTCTGAAGCTACCATGTCCATTTAGCTCAGAAGCTTCGGTCTCAGCTTCCCTAAAAGTCTGCTTTTGGAGAAAACCACCTATCTCATAATGAACGTGACACTTAGGATGGCACAATGTCACCACAAAGTCAACATTCACCGACAATTCTCTGTCTTCAGTTGTTTCTCAGTTCTAATGTGGCTGATTCTCACCACCAATACAGTGTGATAATAAGTGAAACAAACATCATGTACATTTGGAAAATAAGACAAAAACCTTCTGACAAAAGACAAGAAAACATGCTGTACATTTCTAAGGTTATTTCAGCAAAACTCAGATTCTGTAGGAAAATGTTCATCTCTCTCTTTCTTCCTTGCTGAATGAATGGTACATGCCAGGTTCATTCTCTTTTCAATGTGGATATTGTGGCCTGGCATTCATTCTATGTTGTTAAAATTGTCAGTCATGATCAAAAGTCTCTTTCAGGTGTTCCCTGAAACCTCTACTTCTCTGTTATGTCTACTGCAACATACAGGACACAGAAACCTAAATACTAAGGTCTCTCTGTCTGACAAGTCATCAATAACATTTTATAAAGAAAAGTTTGCTATCAGTATTTTCCTGATGACACTTCCAATACATGATAGGCCTTTGGTTTGCTCCTGTGCCAAAGGAAAATCCCCACTCTTACTTGGTCATCTTCCCTTTAGGACCACTGAGACCAGGTGTCCCACATCCTTGGCATTTGACTGCATTGCTGTTCTTTGCAGTTTGGTGAATGATGATAATATTTCCTTATTTTTAGCTTGGGCTCTAAGACTGTCCATGCTCCACATTATAATGCTTATGGTCACAGTCATCGCCATGTTGTAGAAAGCATAGCCGTGTTAATCTGCACAAGCATTATAGGTGAAAACAACATTTTAAAAAGGTTTTAAAAAAGAAGACAAAAATGTGGCACCTTAAAGGCTAAGTTTAATATTTTTTTAATGTGAGCTTTTGTGGACAAGTCCACTCCCTCAGACATAACACAGCCACATTTTCCCTATTTAAAACACCCCTGATAGAGGTTTGAAAATCTTCCTTGCATTTCCTCAAGGTAGTTTGGTTTTAGTGGGTGGCCTTTGCAAGCAATAATAACATCAAACAGAATTAAAGAATGAAACACTGGAGATTAAGAAAAACTTACACAAACTTAAGAATGTATTAGATATAAAATACTACTAAGCAAAATTAAAGCTGCTGGATAGCTCAGTGGCTTAGGTATCTGCCTGTAGAGTCAGACGTTGTCCCTCCTTGAGAGGGGTTGGACTCGATCCACGCTTTGCTGTTCTAAGATACTAACATTTTTAAGAAAAAAGTTAAGATTTGATGAACAAGGTTACACTTATTTTTAAAAACAGACACAAAACTAGTAAAACTGACATCACACATTGGGGAGAAATAGTATCAACTTCAAGACACGTCACCTATGAGATATAAATAAATGAGATTAAGTCACTAAAATCTATTTCGTAAGTTAAGCTAAAGCTGAACACCGTGTTAAATCTTAGCACCATGTTAGACCTTATCTTGATAGCAATCACTATAAATTTTGCAGACAGTGTTATCACCTGTTTATCTCAGTCAAGGCAAAAAAGTATAAATCGGTTGAAAAACCTGAATGACTTGATGATGTTTTCCCACAAATCTCTATAGAAGCAGCAAAACACGAGGGAGTGTTTCAATACAGTCTCCACATGGGCACAGAGAGTGTTTTGCCATGGAATTCTCCTAAAATGACCCTCAAGTACTGTTCACAGCAAAACAAGACAGTGTACACATGAAAAAGTCCTCTGTTTAAAAAATGTAGCAGTATGCCATAAAATCATTTCAGTTTTCAGAGTATCGGACATACTTCAGGAACAGTTTGACCAGTGCAAGCCCCTCCCCCTGAGTTTCCATGGCCAAGCACAAATTTGAACACAGGTCTCCTGCATCCTAATTAAATATTATCGACTACAACTACATCGGTTCTCTTAGAAATTGTTAGACGTGTATCAATGCTTTTGCAGAAGTAGGTGATAAAAGCAATCGTACCAAGGTATAATTTTTGTTTGCTGTTATTCAGTCACATCCAGATGCTGTCATAGTAAGCCTCCTGTCTTAACTGAGGTCATAAGTGAGTTTCCATGGCTAACATTTTTAAAAATTCAAAATAAAAACTTTGAAGGCGGGCTCTTTGGCTGTGTTCTGAAGGTTGTTCTTCCTAACATTTCGCCAGTCTCTGTGGCCGACATCTTCAGAGGACAGCACTCTGTGCTCTGGTGCGGTTTGTTTGGGAGTTGAGTATTTATGGCTGTGAGATCAGCTTTTGTCCTTTTCAGGAGATGGGTGATTATGGTGATCAGTGTGTTTTTGTTGTGGGTGTATTGTTGTGATAAGGAGGAGAGATTATCTGTCACTGTGATTGATGGGTTTTGTTAGCTGGTCTTTTGTGTGTAGTGATCACTGGTCCTTGTGGCTGGGTAGAGTTCGTTGACCTTTTGCACACTGTATTATTCAGTGCTGGGAGCCAAGTTTTGTTGAGTTTCAAACTTTCTTCCTTTTTGTTGTTCTGCTGATATTTGTGGATTTCAATGGCTTCCCTGTGCAGTCTAATGTAATGATTGCTGGTGTTGTCCAGTATTTCCATATTTTGAACTAGAATTTCATGTCCAGCTTGTTTTAGGGCATGTTCAGCTACTGCTGATTTTTCTGGTTGTTTTAGTCTACATTGTCTTTCATGTTCTCTGATTCTGGTGTGGATGTTTCTTTTTGTGGTTCCGGTATACTCCTGCAGTGGTGAGGGGGTTCTTTCTGTCCTTTGCTGACCATAACATTTGTTGTATTTTTGTGGTGGGCTTGAATACTGTTTGTAGGTTGTGTTTTTTCAAAAGTTTCCCCATGCGGTCCATGACCCCTTTGATGTATGGCAGAAATACTTTATTTGTGGGTGGCTGTTTTTCTTCTTCAAGCTGGACATGGAATTCTTCTTAACTTTGAACTTAATGGTGTTGATCCACCTGCTCTTGAGAGTACCTAGCAAAACTAAAGGAAGCATGCAAGAGCACTGTGACTAGGAGGACTTCATGTCCTAAGAAGCATATCACCTGCAAGGTACTGTAATCTAATTTGTGTCTTGATTGCAAATATCCAAACCTCAGCATAGAAGACAGCAACTGACATCATTCAACAATTTTGGAATATTCCATCCTCTTGTGTTCTATAACTGCCACCTTGGACTCTGTCTACCATTAGTCAGAGCAACTGAAGACAGCAGATGTCGCCCTAACTGCAAACAGCAAGTACAGAACAATATATTTTGTTGCTGTGTTTAATACTCAGGTGGTAAAATTTATGAGATGAGATTTGAAGTCCTACGGCACAGATATTAACGAGATGTCATGATTTGGGCTTTTAAAATATACGACAAAACAGGAAAAACATTGAATAGATTGGTTTAAAAGTAATTGCACCGTATTGTTTCAACCCCCTGCTTCTCTAACTAGTTGAGATAATAAAGTAGATATTCAAGGTATAAGGCAATATTGTAGAAATGTATAAGGAAGTAATTTTTTTTAGCAAGGATCGGTTTGAATTACAGTCGACTCATACATCAGTCTCAGCCTTCACTGAAAGCTACTGTGTTGGTTGATTCATGTCTGTTATCTAGATTCAAATACCAATTCAAATAAAGTGAGATGAGAAAACAAGCTGAAATGTTCAAGCTGAACATCATAAAGAGCACATTTACAGTTACCATATTTTCACTCTTTGTATAGTTAAGAACATAACTTGAGGATGGCAAGTGTCTGCCTATGCGTCGGGGCCTTGGTATTCCTGAATCTCTTTGTTTGCTGCAACTTTTACACCAAAGATACTGTGCCAGGTATTGAAGATCAGCGGTTCATTGAGGAATGTGTCCGAGTGCACAACAATTTCAGATCCAATGTGAATCCACCAGCCAGCAACATGAAACGGATGGTAAGGGCATCTTTATAATCTTCCACTGAACAGGAAAATTGCTTTTGCTTATGCCAGCTTCTAGTTGCTTAGAGATGTTTCTGGATAATTCCAACCACCACTGGACTTGTGAGGAGCACTATAGTCCTGGATGAAGTTCTTGGAAATGACAGCTGGGGGGATGGTGTGGTTCTAATGAAATATAAGCTGCGTTTTAAGGACCATGTCTACATGTTATTTCTAAACAAATCTCTGCATGTTTATTTAACAGAGGGTGGGTCTCTCCAATTCACTGATGTATCTGATCCGGTTTCTGGAAATTGTATAACACCCGCACTGATCCCACAGTATATTCCTTGAGGCCAGTTACTGCAATCAGTAACCCAGAGTTCAGAAAAGTTGCCTTTTTGAACTATGGTTTCCAGAATCCTCCAGCCAACAGATTTCAAATGTTAAAATTCTTTTTAACCCAACTGAGAAGCCTAAGTGGCAGGTTTCAGGTGATATGAGGTGCACTACTGCAGCACAGATACCTTTTTCCCCCCTGTTTAGGGTTGTGGGAATGTGGAAGATGACCAGGTGGGAGCAGACTATTTCAATCCAAAACAGAAAGGGGAATATCTAACAAAAACAACAAGAACAAATGAAACAAACAGAAGTATTGTTTCACCTTGAAGTCTAATAGATTTATCGTAGTGCGAGCTTTCCTGGATTCTAATCCACTTCCTCAGACAGATGGAAAACAATATTTAGGATAGAATTTTAATATACACAATGTACACAACGATCTATATAAGCTTATAGCCTAGATAGGTGGGGAAGTTAGCAAATAGTCAAGATACAGTAGGACTCCCATATCCACAGGATCAGCATCTGCTGCTTAACTAGTCCACTATCTGAAAATATTTAAAATATTAAAAGAAAAATCCTAGAGAAATGTACAGTATGTCTATGATATCAGTACCAGACATGGCCACTAGAAGGAGCCAGAGACCATGCTATGTATTGCAAGGGTCCCCAATCCCTGGTCTGCAACCCTGCTGCGTTCCATGATCTAGGCAGGACTGGGCTGCAGACACAGATCTCCTCCCCCCCCCATGAGCACCCCCCATAAGTGTGCTGTGTGCATGCGTGCAAGCATGCTCTACCCCTTGAGGGCATGCCACACACCCTGCACGAGCGTGCCATGCCCCCCCAATTGGTCCACGGTTGGGAAAAGGTTAGGGACCACTGATGTATAGCATTCGCTATAATCTGTATTTTTCAGATCCATGTGGGGGTGTGAGTCTTTGAACCAATCCCTCATGGATATGGGGGGGCGTCCTACTATAGAAGAAAATATTACAGATATGTACAAGTATTTGTAAAAGGGAACCATTTGAATTGTACTCTATGTGCCTAAGGTGCCTCAAAACCTCCATTTCTGTTTGGTTTGGTTTTTCACAAATGGTGAATGGCTATCTCTTTAAAAATAGCTAGCAAGGAAGAGGAATGTAATTCAACCACCTATACCTTTCAATGGTCTAGATTTCATATTTCATAGAACACTTTTTTAAAAATAAAAATACTAAGAGCCTCTTCCTAGTGCACATGTGGTATGACCCGACACTCCCAGCAGCTAGCCTTGCTAACTGATACCTAAGATAGCACTGTGCAAACTAATGAATTTACTGTATGCCCCATATAATGACAAGTTGCATTAATGTATACTAGGATTTTTAAAAGCAATAAACACAGATCTAACATTTAAAAACATAATAATATATAATTATTCCAACCCTGACAATCTTAAATATTTCAAAAAAAAACTTGTAATTATCAGTAAGATACTGATTTTAGAATCAATATCTCTCAAAAATTTGGCCATAGATTGTTGTTGGACTGACATTGCTTTTCTTTGCTTTCTGCCCAGTGTGATTGCCTGATCTGAAGGCAAAGAGGAACTTGCAGGGGTGTCAGTTCCCCTCAGTTGAGCTCATGTTGTCTACAAACAGTGTTTTAAAAAAGGCTTTCAAGGCAGTGCTGGAGTAGAGTATCTCTAGGTCACTTAGGAAACCTAAATATATTTAGAAGGTGGAAATTGCCAATTAGCACCTTGTCAAAGGCAGCTTCTCTTGTGGGAGCTCTGTGCAGGAATAGCTCTCTGTCTTCATCCCTGCTGACTCCTGCAAATTTATTGTCTGGACAGCTACAACAATCTTTTACCTCGGAAATCTGAGTTGTAAAACCTGTAGATCACAGAGGATCCAAGTGTTTGTTTGCTTGTCTGTCTGTTTGTCTGTCTGTTTGACTTATATACTGCTTGTTTAGTGCTAGGCAGTCAAAATAGTACAGAAAATACTATAATATAGCAAAAAATAAAATAAAATCAAATAGGTAAATCAACATAAAGACAAATAAATCAAGATTCCCTTCTTTGAATTCACATGCTTAGTTGCTGAATATGTATCATAGAATCATAGAATAATGGAGGTACCTAAATGTCATCATCCAAATCAATGTATATCTGACAGGTGGTTGTGAGGTAATAGGTTTCATTGTTATACTGCTCTAACAGGATGTTTTTCCCGATATTCAATAAAAATCTGGTTTCTTGTAACTTGAACATGTGTCCTGCACTCTGTGAGAACGGAGAACAAATCCTGCTCTTCCTCTGTATGACAATCTTTCAATATTCTTTCAATCTTCCAAGATAATATTTCATGTATTTCTCCCTATTTTCTTCTATTCATTTCCAGTTCATAAAATGTTCCCACACTGCTTATTCCCCTTGCTGCTGTAGCATTACAGTATCTATAAATAAATGTCATGCATTTCCAGACAATTTCCCAAAACAATCCCCGAGTCCTTGATGTTCAGTTGCTCAATCTTGCCTCCATCTTGTGTCAATCAAGCTTGCATGATACCCTCTCCTATTCAGAATGTCACATATATGCAGAGCAGGGAGTCAGTGAACAGGTAGCAGATATCCTCTGTTTTCTTTACTGTACTTAATGTGAGTCAAGAGTAGCCCTACACTGAGGTAAAGCAGAGGCCCCCAACCCTCAGTCCACGGCCCGCTGTCAGTCCATGGCCTTCACAGACTGGGCCGCAGAGACAGCTCTCCCGTCCCCCACGCACTCCCCCCATATGCATGCAGAGTCAGTCCACCCACATGTGTGCGCGAGTGTGGTGTACTCACCTGCAAGTGTGCCACACCCATCCGCATATGCTCACAAGCGCACCACACGCACCCATGAGCATGCCACACTTAACCGTGAGCAGGGAGGTGTCCTTCCCCGCGCACAGACCCCAATCCCCTAACCGGTCCACATTTTAGATAAAGCATACACAATTTCTGTTCTCTCTCTCTTTGCAAAATACTGAATTTATAAGAAGTATTTTCATTCTTCCCTATATTTTGTTGCTATTGTTAGATGCTACAATATGAAATAAAAGGACTGTAACCTGTTGTTACTCTTTTGTAGAGCTGGGACCATCAGCTAGCAATAATTGCCAAAGACTGGGCAAAGAATTGTCAATTTGTACATAATCCTGATCTAATGGTGCCACATAAGGCTCACTCTCAATTTGCTAACGTTGGAGAAAATATTTGGGCAGGTTCCCTGACAAGTTTTAATGTGACCTTAGCGCTCACAAATTGGTTTGATGAAACCTCGTCTTATGAATATGACACTCAAAAGTGTGACAAGATATGTGGACATTACACTCAGGTAAGCCACTGCTTATGACTCAAGAATAATATGGTTCTTAACAAGTGTTGTGAGACAATGGGTGAAATCCATTGTGCAGGGCGAAGGACATCATCAATAGCGGCAGACTGCCACTGGCTGAAGTTTTCCTTTGGTGGTTTCAGGGTGCATATGGCTCATGTACATTGCAAAAAAGTTGCATGCTCCCCAAAATTGCCAAAGGAACCTTTTGATCAGTGGTGATTTACTACTGCTGTCATTCCTGTTGCACAGGTAGAGCCATGCAATAGGATTTCAGCCAGAATGTCCCTGTCTCAATTCTTTCCTCAGCAGCTAGGATGCCAGTATGGACATGATGACAGTACATGTATGAGTACCTACTCTCTCCACTGAATTATTCCTCAAAGAAAATATGACATATTGGGAGTCAGTGAGGATACAGGAGGGCAAGTGGCTACATCATTGGGAAATCTGTCATAGCTCCACAACGTGAGATCTGGAGTAGCAGATCAGCGATGTCCCATGTCCTGATATGTTAGGGCTAAAAGCCTAAGAACAGAGGCCCAGCATTGGCAGTGCCATGGGGTGGACCAGGCAAGGGCTGGGCAAAAAGGCAGAGCTGTTTCTGTGCCAGGTGATTGTGGAAATGAAGAAAGCAGCTATGTGGGTCCAGAATCCAGCTGAACCTCAGCTGACCAGATGGGAATGCTGAGCCAGGAACTAGGGGAGCGGGGGGAACTATTCTGGAGGCAAGGCAAGTAACAAATGCCTCTACTCCTGTTGGGGTTCACACCTCACTATTTGTGAGCCTATGGCTGAGTCGGGCCCGGTACCTCCCACAAAGAATAAACACACTGCTCGCTTTGAACTGGAAGTAAAAAGGCCGCAGCTTTATTAATTGAATTCCAACCACAGTTCCCCTGGCTAAGCATTGGAGTCAGATCCGGATCGGGAGGCCCAAGGGCATCACCTGAGAAACCAGGTAGTTCCTTAGAGACCAGGTAGGTGTATGCCACTCCGTGGCTCCCTGTCATCCGAGGGCAAGGCCAAGGCTCTGGCCCCCTGAACTGGGGCCGCTCTGGTCCTTGACCCTACCACCACCACCCCAAATGGAAGGGGTTTAGCATGGCTCCCTGTCACCCAAGGGCAAGGCCAAGGCTCTGGCCCCCTGAGCTGGGGCCGCCCTGGTCCTTGACCCTACCCCCCCAAAGGGAGGGGGTTCATTGATAGCGGCAGGCCTCTATCATCCCCCCAATCTATCCCCAATACTCCCAAACCGCCACAAGAACCCAGCAAAACAGCAAGTTGTTCCAAGCCTACAGTACTGCCAGCTTTTATGGAAAGCATATCATGATCCCAAGAGGTTTATTTCCCCCAGGCCCTGTCCCAATGCTGTGAGGGCTTAGGCAATAGGGAAATTCACATGAAACACACACTCTACTCCTTGCTTTCTCCAAATGGCCTGATGGGACTAAGTGCATGCAGCTGCTGGCAATCCCCCCCAGGTCCCTCCTTTTGCATCTGGCTTTCTCATATGCTGAAGTTGCACAAGCCCAAGATGCCTGCAAACACCTTTCTTCTGAGCCTAGTCCATGTGGCTGGCAATGGGTGCGCAATGGGCTAGACATCCATTTCACACTCAGTAGTGAAACTTCTCCTTGCCTTGAGATTTTTACCAGGAGAAGCATTAGCCCCCTCTTTCCCTATCCCAAAAGTTGAAGCACAGCTCCTGAAAAGAGTGGCAAATGACTTTTTCAGTGAGTTAAAGCACTCAAGCCAAACACCATAAAACAACATCTGTTCCAATCTGGAAATATTTTGACCTTTCAGGTGCTTTGGGCTTCATTCTTTTCCTGTTTTTTGCAGTCCGTGAGAGAACCGCAAGGGACATAAAATTGGCCACCAGATATTTCAAAGTTGCCTATCCTAAAAGCCCTAGCAATAAGAAGTGCAAAAAGGGGGTAAATTCTTTTCTAGAGAGGTTCACATATGTGTGGGCAGAGGTCCGGATCCTAATTGCTACAGGAGAGCTTGTGAATCTGTTGCAGAAAAAGCAGCAAACACTAGACATTGGAAAAAGTTACTTTTCAGGGCTACAGCTCCCATAATTCTCCAGTGAAGTTGGAGATTCAGTTCTCCACTGTGCCTCCTTGATGTGGGCTGGACTTGATGATCCATAGGTCCCGTTCAGTTCTAAGATTAAGGCACACCCACATACAGCAGTGAAAACCATGTCATGGGTGCAAGCACCCACAGTTTATCTGTTGCTGTTGCTGCTGTTTTGACTTATGTATTGCCCCATAGTGCTAAAGCACTCTCTGAACGGTTTGCAGCATAGTTAAGCAAACAACAACTTGTCCCTCAGGGACAATTTTGCCATCCTCAGAAGGATGGAAGGCTGAGTCAACCTTGAGCCAGCTGCCTGAACCCATCAGGATCAAACCACTGCACCAAGGGGCTCTTATGATGTCAGGATACTAAAGCTACATGAATATATCTGCTGTTGTTTGACAACTCATCTTGTCTGGAAAACAAACCTTTTGTTTCCTCAATTCATCTTTGAATGTTAACATGATGTATTGATCTATAAATCATTTCTATATATCACAGGTAAGTTTTAGCTAAAAAGTCTTGGTGAACACTAAAGCACTGTCCCAATTTCATTTTAGATGGTTTGGGCAACAAGCTACAGAGTTGGTTGTGCTGCTCAATTCTGCCCTAAACTGCAAAACTACACTGGATCGGACGCTGTGCTCTTCATTTGTGACTACGGCCCTGCGTAAGCTTTTTTTATTTGCAATTTGTGAGAATTTCTTTCAGGATGGAGCATCTCCTGGTCCTCCTGGGTCTGAGAAACTGACAACTAGGGATAGATGTGGTTTAATTATTCCTCTTTGACCGAGCTTTGGGTGGCTTTAAAGGAATTATTTGTGTAACAAATGGTTCCCAGAAAGACCAAGATGGCACATAATACACGGGTCATGTTGGTTATATATATAAGTCTGGGTTGATTATCAGTCTTTAATAGTCTCAGGCTAGGATCCTGTAGCCATAGGAAATTGCTGTCCTGACTGCTTAGTGGGGAGGGGAATGGGAGAGCACCATTCTCCACGTACACAATTTGCTGATGGAAAAAAAGAGGCCACAGCTTTATGTATTACAGCTGAGCTTGATCCTGGCATAAGGCAAAGCAAATTCAGGAGATCAGATGATGACCTGCTGTTGGATGGCACCCCAGACCAACTGCAGAGGAGCTTGCTGTGGACAGCACAGAGGTTCTCAACGACTGTGTGGTTCTGATGACCTGCTGTTGGATGGCACCCCAGACAGCATACAGGTTCTCAACCACTGTGTGGTTCCCCCATTCCCTGGTTGGGAGGAAAATACACAACTCCAGAGATAAGTGTCCCCTTTCTGTCTTCCCCCTGAGAGAATCCCCCTAAAATGGGATCCAGCCCTATGCCTCCAATCATCCATAAAAGTGCGACAAAAAGAGAAATTTGGATCATCATCCACGTAGGAAACCAAAAATGTTTCCTCCTTCCCTCCTTCTGCCTCTGGTCCAAAATCTTTGATCTTTAAAGTCAACCACCTGAACTGGCTGGGACTCAAATGCTTTTAAGCCAGCCAGGGAGATCAGAAACAAAACTTTTTGTGGTGTTTTTTGTCATCTCCAGCTCAGCCATGCCTCCCACCAAGGGAAGCAACAGACGGACCAGCATGCTTTTTCCGGGACCCCAGTTATGTAAAATGGCACCACTCCACTCCTTGCCACAGTACAAGGGCCAGGAGTCCCTCTGCAGCCCTTACCTACCTGAGTTCCAAAATCAGCAATGAAGAATCTTTTTTCTGGCCCTATTTTTAATGGTTATCTTACAGCTTTAGCGTTCCTTTACTGGGGAGCTCCCTCATCCCTTCTTCAGCCAAGCAATGAAACCCCGCATGATTTTTCAATTAGTAATTAGTAAACCTAAAATTTAGGGTTTTAGTAATTTTATCTTTACCTTTTCAATTTTTTTTTCATATTTACCTAAATACCCAGTATACTTAATATTTTTCATATTTACATAGATACCTAATATTTATCTATTATTGTCGTGCTTATTCAATTTTTTCCTGTTTTGTGTGGGGATTACAAGCTACATGGCCTCCCCCAGTATTTTGAAAAGCAAAGCAGAAGTAGAAAAGGTGGTGGGGGGAAGGAATAACATAATACAGTATAACTAACTCACCTATAGTCACATTTTGAGTATTCTTTTTGCATCCTTCCTCCCACATGTGGCATAAAGATTATGTTGTGCCCCCTTGTCTAACGCTGTAAAATAGTTCACAATGGAGGAAACGTATCTATCACTTTAAGAATATGGTGTTGACAGGGACATTCCTTAGAACTATGGAATATGCTATTTCTTCCTATACGTGTTCCTTAGGAATATGGGGAATCAGAAGTCCAACTAAAATTTTTTTTTATGTGCCACTCAAGTCTATGACCATTGCCGAGGATGTTTTTTGGGTTTTGTTTTTTTTAGGTCTGTGAGATATTCATAGGTTGGTTTACCACTGCCATCCCTAGGGGGTGGCCATGTTCAAGCAGGGATATGAACCTAGGTTCATGAGTCCTAGCCCTACACTCTAAGCACTCCGCCATACTGGTTCTTATAAATAAAATAGCAACGTGAAAATTTAGGTAAGCTTAGAGGACATAGCAACATCTCTCAGCACTAAGTTCAAGACCAGCTCATGGTGTCTAATAATGACCTGTCTCTACATACTATAAAAGCCAAAGTGAGTCTCACACGATATTGCTCATACTGTTCTTTTTCATTCCTGAAACCAGTGGTAGAAAATCTGGCATTCTCAAAATTCTTTGGACCATAGCTCCATGCAGACCTGGGTTTCTGCAAGCTGTAGCCCAAAACGCACAGAGGAGACCAGGTTGCCTTTAGAAAGGGCCATAACTGGGTGGCAAAGAATATGCATTTCATACAGACATCCCTAGATTCAGTCTCTAGCATTTCAAGGTAAGGGTGGAAAAACACTTTCATGAAATCATGGACTGTCGATCAGTGTTAACAGTATTGAATGAGATGGACCCATGGGCTTACTCTGTTAAAGGCAGCTTCACATGAACTTTTACAGTGGGGTCTTGACTTGAGAACTTAATCCGTATTGGAAGGCGGTTCTCAAGTCAAAAAGTTCTCAAGTCAAATCTGCATTTCCCATAGGAATGCATTGAGAACCAGTTCAAGACCAGCTCATGGTGTCTAATAATGACCTGTCTCTACATACTATAAAAGCCAAAGTGAGTCTCACACGATATTGCTCATACTGTTCTTTTTCATTCCTGAAACCAGTGGTAGAAAATCTGGCATTCTCAAAATTCTTTGGACCATAGCTCCATGCAGACCTGGGTTTCTGCAAGCTGTAGCCCAAAACGCACAGAGGAGACCAGGTTGCCTTTAGAAAGGGCCATAACTGGGTGGCAAAGAATATGCATTTCATACAGACATCCCTAGATTCAGTCTCTAGCATTTCAAGATAAGGGTGGAAAAACACTTTCATGAAATCATGGACTGTCAATCAGTGTTAACAGTATTGAATGAGATGGACCCATGGGCTTACTCTGTTAAAGGAAGCTTCACATGAACTTTTAATTGAGAACAGGTATGTATTTATTAAAGAAGGAAGACAGTTCAAAATAAACTTTAATATTTTGCTTATGAGATTTAAAATTGTTTAATAGTAAATTATTAGAGAAGACATAGAAGCTAATCTTCTGTAGATGCTTACAGACACTTAACCAGGAACTCGTTTTCACACTTAGCTTTGAAAAGCTAAAACTGCCTTTAAACGAAGAGGGATTTGGGAATTTACTAGAGATCTCTATTTTTCCAAAAGTCCTAAACCCTTTCCCTGAGGAGGAAGCTGAGGCAGAAGGTGAGCTCTGTTGGGAGCACTTTTTTTTTGGGGGGGGGAGGTATATTTTTCTAGGCTGATCTTTGCTCTCCCTGACCACATGGTCTAAGGGGGTGGGGTTTGGCTTTAAATGATCGAAGAGGGATTTGGGAATTTACTAGAGATCTCTATTTTTCCAAAAGTCCTAAACCCTTTCCCTGAGGAGGAAGCTGAGGCAGAAGGTGAGCTCTGTTGGGAGCACTTTTTTTTTGGGGGGGGGAGGTATATTTTTCTAGGCTGATCTTTGCTCTCCCTGACCACATGGTCTAAGGGGGTGGGGTTTGGCTTTAAATGATTGTGAGCAGTCCCTGACCACATGGTCTAAGGGGGCGGGGTTTGGCTTTAAATGACTGTGAGCAGAAGCACTAAATGAAATTCTCCGATTCTATTTTTCACTCTAATCTGGTAAATAGGAAAGGCAAATAGCATTGCATACACCTGGGGGTCAGGAAAGTTTTAGGGGTCCGATCATACTTCCACACTCTCAGGGAGCAGGCCAGATAGGTGGGGCTCAGCAGCCTTGGAAGGCAGCCCATCTAGAAGGAAAACTCCGATTTCAAACCTCCACTGCCTTGTGGCTATATTCACTGATGGAAAAGGCTTTAGGAGTTATCCTCGAGGCAAAATCCAGAGCCAGTGTCCCAGAGGCAGTTTGTGTCGTTCTGCCCACTCCTGCGATATCGCTGGAACCAAATGTATTGGCTCTTGCCTTTCCATTGGACTATTGCAGTGATGTGGAGAGGGGGGATTTGCTGCTTGGGTAACAGCCTATCCTCCATATTATTTTACCCAGGCTTCGTGCTCTGGAGAGGACACTCCAGCTTCGCATACAGCGTTGAAACAACACAGAAAGGAATTGCCACTCTCGAATTGGCCTTCTCAGTCACACTAGACGCTGTTCCAAGTCCTCCATACAGAGCACGTTACCATAGTCTCTCGAGACTGAAGGATGTCTAACTATTTACTGAAAGCTGACATAAATATGGATTTTAACCAGTGTCAAGTTAAGAACATTTAGTCCCATATTTATTTAACTTGCCAAACTTTACAGGCTTTTACAATAAAGGTAAATAATATACTGACCCATTACAGCCTTTAAGAAATTGGTTCAGTGTGGTTATCAATGGCAACCTGAGATGCTAACCCATCATGAAATTCAAGCAATTAGCAAATAGCAGAATAGTTTCAGCATTACTTTTGAAAAGAAAGCTGAATCCCTTGTTTAATGCTTGGAAAAATAATTGGTAACATTTTGGCTGTGATATAGTACTGTCTACTGTATAAACTTTCACTGTGTACATTACTTCAATTTCAGTTTGAATAAAATTGGAAATAGAACATATAATTTAAGCCATATCTCTTTCTCACTAAATGTGCTGACAAAGGCTGTTCTTTGACACAGTGGGAATTTCCCAACTCAGCCATATAAAACTGGAGAACCATGCAGTCAGTGTGGTAGAAAAGCATGTCACGACAAACTCTGTGGTAAGTAAATGATCTTTCAGTGGCATTAGTACATCTAAGAGCACCTATGAGTGAAATGTTTTTACCAGTTAGTGAAGTTTGATTTTAAATATGAGTGGATTCAACAATCATCCTTAAATTTTACCCTGCCATTAATTGCACCTACTACTATGCAACTTGGGACAGCCTCAGTTATACAGTCTTAAGTAGCTTATAATGGAGAATGTAGAGCTGATTGCACGTACATACTCAAAAATGAGACCATGGTGATGCCAATCATACGAGTTGCTCTAATATTCATAATATATAATTTTGTGTCACTCACTACCCTGTCACTATTCAATAAACCGTTTAAAACATGTACTGTATCAACTGATCTGTTGATAAGCCGTATATACAAAGGTACAGATGGTACAATGGTGGCACTGAACCAGCAGAATCCATCATGAGAGTTTGCTTTCCCCTGCAGACTCCTAAAAGCAAATCTACACAGCGGAGAAGCCCTCCATAGCCAGTTTTTGTGCAGCATGAAGGACTGAAGAGACAGGAAAGGTGTAGAACGTTCCACCTATGTGAAGCAGAGCATGTATCTATGCAGCTATTTTCAAGCTCTCTTCAGTGACTGCACTTCTATTACAGAACTCCTATCCCTGCATAGCAGTTCCCAAGCAAATTTCCTGACATAATGTAAAAGGTTGTCACTTCCTTCTTAGAGAGGAGGTGCAGCCTTGGAGAATGAGCCTCCATTTATTTCTGCACTTGTAAACTTGCCCTGGTTTTAAATAGTGCCTGGTTACAAGCCACACTCAGGCAAAGTCCATAATATGGACTGATATGAATCTGGTGTGCAACCCAAATGGTATTTTAAAACTTAAAATATTTTAAAATTGAAAATAAACATTGGAATGCTTTTTGCAGCTATGCACAAATTACAAAATTGACAACAGGCTGTCTTAGGACAGAGCTCCATCCAGAAAGTTCACTTTTCATAAAAATGAAATTGCTGGATTCTTTTTAAAATCATTTTTTATAAGCAAGCCAGCATATGCTAAGAACTGGAATGCTCTGCCAATTTCCCAGTAGGTATTCTCTAGCCAAGTAGGTGTCACACTATGTTTTGAAATAGTGGGATTGTTCAGCTGATGACAGATAGGCCTGCCTGTGAGGCCACCATAAAACTCAACCTACTGTTCTGAGCTGGTATGGTCTAAGTACCCTCTGTTGCTCTACTAGGATCTAAATTAAGCAGCTGATCAGTCTTCTTGATGTACATATAGTATTTCAGAATCAATTTCTGATTAAGTTCTGCAGGGTATTCTCCATATCTATCTTTCAGATAATTACTTCTCTCTCCCAATATTTCACACATAACCAACACACATTCGTAACTGAGCTGTACATCTTGAGAATGGAAGAAAGACAGGAGTGAAGATGTGGATGTTGCAGTAACATGCACATTCTGAGTCACCGAATCCTGGATAGTCAACTTTTGTTTCTCTTAGTGCTGCATTTAATTAAGAACCTTTTTTGCTTTGATGAGGCATGACCAAATACTTATAATTGGAAAAAGGGGGAGGGAAAAATACTTTTCCAAATGGCCAAATTTGGGAGGCAGGGATATGAGCAGATCAAACATATGTGCACACTCTACAGTAATGATGAAGAATATATGACCTCTAGATACTATAGGACTGTTGACTCATATCAACCCTAGTTGGTAAGGTGATTGCTGAAGGAGTCTATGACAGGATCAGGAGGCGATGTGCTCCCAACCCTATTCTGGTTTAGAAATGTCTACATTATTGCAAGAATGTCAGAAAAAGTAAAGTACCAAGAAGAATACAAAGCTTGATGCCTTAAGTGTTCACCCCAAGCAACAGTTCTCTGGGGACTCTTATGACTTTGCAGGAGTATTAAGAATCAAAAGTCAAAATCTTGGTGTATTTTTATAGCATGCAGCAGCTGTAAAACCCATTAATGGGTGCACTATTAATATGCCACCAAGATTTATACCAGCTGCATTTTGTCAGTAGATGAGAGTGATAAGATTTGGCCAATGTCCTATAGTCATTTGGCAAATAGTATCTTATCTATGATTTCTGGAACTTGTTTCATCTGGCAGATCAGACTGATGCTTTAGTTATAAGATTAACAGATCATCACTTTTATGATATAGCTGAACTGGCATTAACAGAGTTCCAGCTGCGAATAATGTGTCTATTTTATTTACAGATGCTGATGGGAGCAAGTCTTTCTACATAAACCCATTTTTACTTTTAATGACAACTGCAGTGATTTTGCTTCGTAGCATTACCCCAGAATGAATTTCTTCGTTCTTTCTGGAAACAATGGCAAAGTGAATACCTTCAAGTATAGAATAAAAGGGTTACATTGGCATCAATTGATTAAATGTCAAGACATCAACATTTCTTCAGCAAATTTTACTGCTGATCTACTATAAAAACTCCTCCTTTTTCATTCAGCAGTGACACAGATATGAGTTCCATGATGCTTTTACCACAAATGATAATGACCTGGGAACAAACAAAAACCCAAGTTCTGCATTAATACAGCCACATGCAGTTTGTCCTGTTCAACTCAATGGAGTACATAAATAGTGTAGCTTGCTGCTCAATTTTAGTCAGCATTTGGAAAGAGCATCTTTTGAACAATATATAACATTTCAGACAGACCAAAAACAACATTCAGAAATATCAATACTTATATAAAAAATAGTTTATGTAATTTAGGTATACTTAAAATACAAACCAATTTACAAGTGTTTTGGGGGAAATGTTCCCTTCCTGCAGAAACTTCTAGCTGTTTGAAGCTTATGTGATACTCTGCATGAATGTCAAATAACACTCCTACAAATCTTATATGTGTTAACAATATTCACTCCACATACAAAACCCTTTCAGTGGCAATCCTGTGCTTGCTAGAAATGTATGCATAAAAATGTAAGCCATCCACTTATTTAAGAGATACTGGAAATGTGGAAAATTTGGCCATATTTTTTGGATCGTAATAGAACATGCTGCCAGTTTTGCTTGATGCAAATCTTGAAACTGTTGTCCTTTTCATCTCAACTACTGCAGTTTTGTGTTGGTTTTGACATTAACCGGCAAAAACACAATGCAAAGGAAGTGTGCTTCATACATGGAGTTCTTTGTTCTCCTCAGAAAAGCTGGGCACTACAACTTCACAAATGCTTTCTTCTTCTTCTTTTCATCTGCTGCAATTTTTAATTTAACTTCTTCCACTGGAAGTGCTCCTAGCTTCTTCTTCTTTGCCTTCTTAACCTTTTCTTTAATACCTTCAATGTCAATTTTTGTTTCAGCAGGAGCTACAAAGCAAGAGATATTGATGAAGGTTGTATCTGCTTTATCACACCATTTCTAAGAGACAAGTCACACATTTCATGCGTATCAGTTGGGAGTCTGCTTAAATATGACACCAAGCATGTCAACACAAATCTTACCAGCTCACAGATTTGCTGAAATATTTTTATAAGTATAGCAAAACAAAGAACTAAGACACTTGAACCATAGCCATTCAGGTTGGTTTTTTTTTTAAAGACTCATTCTGAAATGCAGCCAGGTGAATTAGAAAAAAATACATGCAGACTACAATACAGTAGGACTCCCTATCAGGGGATTTGCTGAAATATTTTTATAAGTATAGCGAAACAAAGAACTAAGACAGTTGAACCATAGCCATTCAGGTTGGTGTTTTTTTTTAAAAGACTCATTCTGAAATGCAGCCAGGCGAATTAAAAAAAAATACAGGCAGACTACAATACAGTAGGACTCCCTATTGGGAGGGGATTGGTTCCAAGCACCCCCATGCTAAAAAATGCAGATTATAGCAAACATCTCCCTCCCCAAACCAGATGCCCTCCCCACTTTCGATAACTTTCCAGAAATTATAGGGACAAAGCTCCCCCCATACTCCCTAAGATCCACACAAACCTGATGGTTACTCCAAGGGAGGGCACAGCACAGAAGACAATGCCTTGGGAGGGCCACTTAGGTGCATGCTGAGCTCTTTGCCAGCATGCTCTCAGGCCTCAATGCTGTCCCACTTCCTACCTCGATTGCCCAGTTCTAACACTCCCCCCATCCCCACAGGGTAAATCAGCAGGCAGGAGGAGCTTCTGTGGCTTCCCAGGAGAAAGGTTGCAAGAGGAGAGGCCTTAAGCAGCCAGAGATCATGCTATGTACTCTTCATAGCATAGTCTCTCTTTTTCCCTCTAGTGGCCAGTTCTGGTAAAACATGTGAATTTTTTACTGCATTTTTGTTCTAATACTTTTAATATTCAAGACGTGGTCTAGAGGGGCGGGGTATAAATTTAATAAAATAAATAAATAAATAGCATAGTCTCTCTTTTTCCCTCTAGTGGTCAGTTCTGGTAAAACATGTGAATTTTTTTACTGCACTTTTGTTCTAATACTTATAATATTTAATTCAATATTTGCAGACCATGAATAAGTGAACCCACAGATACTGATCCCATGAATCAAGGGGCCCTTCTGTATACTCAGAGATGATTTTGCAAACATTATAATTTTTAAAAAAAACAATTTACATATTTGAATTAAGGAAATCCAACACATTAGTGCCTACATAACAAATTTACAAAAACAGAGATTAATTTGTGAACAAGGATTGTCAATCTTACCTTTCTTTGGTTTTACAACTGGCTTTTCCTTAGGTGGAATAAAAGCTTTGTTTCTCTCTTCTTGCCTCTTGTTAATTACCTCTGCTTGTCTTGCCTAAATGGGGGGGGGGAATGAACACACAAATTCAGATAAAAAATTCAGAATGAACACAGAGATTAAGATCCAGATTTTAAAGCAACTTCAAAAGTTGCTTGCTTTGGATTGTACCTTTATCTCTTCTACTCTCTTACGCTTCTTTTGGCTTTCTTTCAAGAAATATTCACCACTCGCCAATTCTTTATCAATCTGAAACATAATGGTAATGATTAAATATATTAAAGAATATAATAATATGATTCAATATATTAAAGAATATTGTCTTCCAGAATAAATCTTCCATTTAAAAACAAAAAAGTCCTGATTTTAGAAATATGAACTGAAACGAACTATGTCCAAATTCTACAAACAGTGTTGAAATAGTCATCTTACTTATCAGGAGTAACTTTATGAATAAATAGCCAATACAAAGAAAAAGCTCATACTCCAGTTATTATACTATTAGTACTTCTTCACAGTTGCAAGTCATTTCATGTGATCTAACCCACAAATTTTTTAACTAGGGCAACACTTTTACATATTCTAATAAATAACATTTCTTCAAAAATAACTGTACAAAACAGCAATTTCTGACCTAGTGCCATTATTGCTCTTATTTTTAATTATGCTTTAAAATAATGATTTGCAGATAAATCAGACAAAATGTGCTATTATATCATATATATCCATGAATAAATAGCTATGAAATAGCACAACACAATCAAACAGACATACTTGTAGCCCTCTAAATGTCATTGAAGTAGTAATACCGTCTTTCCTGACCACAGGTCATAGTTGCACAGGCTAATGGGAGTTGGAATCCATCATCTGGAGGGCCAAAGTTTGCCCAATTTGCCATAAATGCACCATAATTCAAACTTCCCCCAAAATTAGACAAAGAAAACCAAACAAGCACTCATAACAAATGCTTACAGATTTGGTCAGAAATTATGTGCTCTTCCTTTGAAGTCTATTTTAGATTGGGGACAGTGATAACAACAGTAACATAATAGTTCTCAGTTGTTACTGTTTTGTGACTCTCTTTGTTGTCAGACAGACAAAAATATTTCTTTTTACAAAGTATATATTTTTATTTCCTTTGCCTTCCTTTCACCAACTTTCCAGTGGTAAGGTCTATAACCTCAAAGTAATCAGCAGGCGCACTCCTTATTCCTTCTCTATTCTAAAACGATTTATGTTGTGCAATAAAACTGAGGAATTTCACAGACCTGACTCTCTGGTTGTGGCGGTGGAAACGGAGTATATTCCTTCTTCACATTTTTCTTCTTTGGTTCCTTCCGTTTGTTCAAATTCTTATGTTTGAACTTAGGCAAAAATCGTTCCCAGTTCTGTGATCTTAATTCAGGATCTTTTGACAACTCCCTCTTAATCATCAGGGTCTTCACCACATTAAAACACACAAAAAGTTAATATGTTATATTACTCAGTTCCATTTTTTCCATTTTAGGGAAAAGATTCAAAAGAACCTCAGTTAACAACAGCAGATAACACAATTTTTTTAGGCAAAATCAATCTGATTTACAAAAAAAATTGTGAAGCTTTTTAATTATACCCTGATCTGTCTGACTTCCAGTTTGGTCAATGATATGCTATAGACACTAGAAGTGCCAGTAATAGACATTTGCTGTCATTTGAGTTCTACTTCCCAATTAATATGCAGTTTATGTCTTTAACATCAAAATCCTGTATGCACTGTAAGCTAAGGCTAGAAGGCTCAGTGAGTGGCCAGAATACAGGACTAATTACTCCAATATATACAGTTACTGTGCCCAATTAGTAACACACACTGCTACTAATAAGATTCCCAGGTTAAAAAAAGACTCCAAAATAAAGGCTTATACAAAACCTTTTACAGCACAAAAAAGTCACACTCACCTTGATATTATATATGGGATGAATATTCTTCATTGTATCCAGAACTACTTTCCTAACCTAGATTTATGAAAAGGACAAATCAATTTTTTTGCTAAAGCATAGGTTAACAGAAAATAGAATGGGATCTATTGCTTGGTTTTGAATAGACTGACAAGGATTTCTGACTAGGTACCCAAACGTGTTAGCAATACCTAATAGCACACCAAACTACCTTTATCCACCCACCCCTTAATTATACTACTGAAATGAAGAACGGGATAACCCAAATAATTTTTTTGTATGGAAAGACCATGACCACCATTCAGTTCTAGTACTCGAAACTAATTTCTGTGGTCAGAATTCTTGAATTTCAAGTGTGTCTTTTGCATCAGGCTCTGTTTAGTGAACCTTAGTCAATCTAATTTTAAAAAAAAAGGTTGAATCTACCACTGTGAAGTCTGCCCACTGCCAGACTAAACTACAATTATACCAGTGTATTTTGGAACAAGTTGGTTTTGAAAAATGACTTCCACCAAATTTTTACATGATGGTCAATTAATTTTGAAAACAATTCACCTATTGAGCATGAGACAAAAACAAAAGATCAGCACCCTAATACAAGAAGTGCTGCTAATATACAAGAATTTGCATTATACGAATCTATGTCATTTTATTCTTAAGTGATATGTTTGGCCAGATATTTTATATTCGTATTTTTGGATGTAGCATGGCACAAGCAGATGCCCTTGGTCTGTGGTCATGGCTGATTAAGACTGTAGCTCCCATTCCCCACCTTCTGTCATGTTATTTGAGCAAGGTGTTCAATGAGTCACAGCTTGCATGGATACAAATACCTCCACATTTTAACCCATGGAACCTGACTTACAAGAGTCATGCAGGTATCTAACTAATGGTTACTCTGGGCAGTTTACAATAATTGGCATTGTTAAACAACTGAGGATAGGGATGAGAACTTCACTTCTTTTTCATGGACATAAAATAATTCGAAGTGGAGCAAACTGGTTCTACAACAGAAATTTAATGCCAAAGTGTTCTTGTGTATGGAAAGTAAATCATACCTCTTTTAAGCCATTAAAAGGCCCAAGAGCTGAAACAGTGTTACCTTGAACCAAGATGTAGCAGTTTGTTAACAATTCTAGAGCCTAAAATAGAACAAAACATAATAGATAATTTGGACATAGAGTAAAGTATAATAGATAATTTAGAAAAGCATTTTAAAGGTCTTCACTATCATCAAGACAAATGGGACATTTTGACTCTATAAGAGTCACATTTTTGGTGGAATCCATACAGAACTCAATCCCCAAGATAGGCATTTTGCAATGTTTTCACCTGAAGAGACGTAAACAATGTCTCAAAGATTCAGCCACCAGCCATGTACATACTTCTCTTTTTGTAAACAAAAAACCCAAAAAAACCCACACACTTTCTGTCAATTTATTGCTTTTTGTCACTGGGATTACTTTTTTGTTCCAGAGAAAAAAGGAGTAAGGGGGACAAATGTCTGACATCACTCTGTGGTTCAAATATGACGCACAGAAACTGCTGGGAATGCTTGACAAAAAAGAGGAAATGAAAACCAGCATTATTCTGAACCATCACAAACAACTTAAGCAACTTTGTAGTTACAAAGATAGTGAAGTGTCCTGTTCCTGAATGGGAAAATCAGTACCACATTTAGCAAGTTTGCTTGCATAGACTGTTCTAGTATTAAACTCACATATTATTTCTATGGTGTAAAGCACAAATAATGGCCTTTCACTGCAGGACTATTCTGTTAGCAGAGACTGTTTTGTTACTGAGACAGAAAATTACCCAACAACATTAATTCTAGGTTTTCTTACAAATAGAAGAGGATTATATTTCCTTCAAGATCCATGCTAGTTTCCTCATGAGTTTTTCTTGTTTTGAACTGAAAACAGCAGTTAACAGTATTTATTAAACACAGAAATTGTGTGTTTTATGTGCAATCAAGTGTTTTCAAGGCATGTAAGATAGTTTTCCCATATACCACCTCCTGGTGAGTTTCCATGGAAAGTGGAGATTTCAGACCTGGGTAGTTTATCATTATAGCCACAACACCTTGTTCAATCTTATGTGTTGGTTATATTTTTCACCAAAAAAAGATAGCTAGCGGATAGTAAAAACACGTGAACATTTATATCTGGCTCTGGATGTTTAATTATGGTGGAATACCACTGTTTTTCAACCACAAACACTCTTGTGGATATAAGGTATTTTTAGGTTCTTTTATGCACTGTTAAATTCCTATTAGATCAGGAAATACCTCCAAAGCCATTAAAAGCAAGATTTTTACTCTGTGGGGATGAGGGCTGATGATCACCAAAGCTTCCACAGTAAACTCACCAAACAGGGAATAAATTAAATTGAAACCATTCAGCAAACATACATGGGACTGGGCTGTAAGAATGTAAGACAAACCTTCAAGGTAGAGCCATTGGGACCAATAAGCCTCTGTCTTCTTTTGATAAATCGCTCTCTGTTTCTCACCAGGGACCCTATTTTAATAATATCACAAGCAATGTCGTCTTGAAGAATACGTACAGCCTAAATGTAACATCAGAGGCAGCCCAAAGTTAGACAAATAAAGATATAGGTAGAATATTATTAAAATAAATAAAATATAATTCAAATATAATATAATTTATTACAAGAATCCATCCTGGGAGACCTGAGAAATAAGATTACAAATCAGTGTTTATCATTCAGGTAACCAACATTTTAAATTATATTTTTATAAAGCCAGTCTCCCTATAGTCAGAGACCCATACAAAAAAAAAATCAAATGAAAAACAATATTCAAACAATTTCAAAGGGAAAAATGATAGAACCATGATAGTTCACTACTGAACAAACCTGCTCAAATGGAACACTTCTTGCTAGAAGCTTTATCAAATCTCTGGCTCTGATTATTATATATGGATCAAAGGTCTTCTTTGTTGTACTGACTGTCATGCTTCCTTCAATTAGGTCTAACGCTGCATTTACATGCTATAAAACAAAGCAATACATAGTAAACATGTTTCTTAACAATGTCGTAAGTTTATATGTCAAACAGATTTTACAAGCACAATTATCTATATCTGCATTTATACCTGTATCTATCTGCCTATCTATATCAAATAACAAAGAAACAGTAAAGACAGTTGAATAAGATATAGGGCACTGGCTGGTCTTATTCCTTGCCTTCACTGCCTACTCACTTGCCTTTGCTGAAGAAAATCTCCAATCACCATTTAACTTGTCCTTTCCCCTGAAGAGGTCAGACTGATCTCAGAAAATGAGTCAAGTGAATGGGTAGTGGCAACAGCAGCAACAAGGTAGACCAATTCTATGAAAACATCTTACTTTGACCCCTCTATGGCAGATGAAAATGCATTTCCAGTGGATAGTGCAGACTCCTCATGTTTCTAAAACTGACAACCTTATCCTACATCTCAGTATTGTAAAACACACTGGCCAGAATCCATTACTTACACCCACCAGTACAAATCTAATTATATAAATCTCAACAGCAAATTGTTGCAGTTTAATAAATTGATGCCTATATTTCTCATTGAACATCAGTCATGCGACTTGGCATAAGGAAAGAAATACAAGCTGTAATTTATTCAGGGGCTACTCAAATTTATGCTGTTGCGCTTATGCCAGTGCAATAGGATTTTGGCCATTATACAAATAAAAAAGGAATTCCTTCTTTTAGGATAGCATCAAAAGCCTCTGAAGCCATTTCCATTTATCAAAGCAGGACGGAATATATATAAGCAGGTTTAAAATGTTCTCTTCAGCAGTTTAACAACTAGGACACCCCGTATCCATCTTCTCAAGCAATCTAAGCTTATGAACCAGAAAGTTAACATTGTGCTCTATGAAAATAAAAGAAAACATTCATACATGTTCATTCAGTGCCTTCTGCACTAGGGGCCAGCATTCTTTCAAATAAGCTTCTCTGTATTTTGGGAACAGAGTGGCAAAACTGCTTTCTTCCAGAAGCCCTCTAGGATTATCTTCTCTTGAAAAGGCTGGTTCTTTCCATCCATCGGGAACTGTGAGAAGTTCAGAGTCATCTATTGTCAGAAAAATATAAATATTTGTATTAGCTTTTTTTAAAGTAGGAAAACTGTTCTACCAGGAGAAGGACATAGGAGTGACAAGGAAAAGCAGCACAACAATTTATCCAAATGTTGAGGTCTAACGCAGGGAAACAAAGACCTTCAAATATTGCACAGGAACTGTAAAACTTTAAGAACCATTATCCTACTGGTTATTTACACTAACCTAAATAAAGTGAGTATTCTGTGAATATGCTGAGTATTCTCTACCTGGAAAACCCCCAAAAGGTCACCATAAATCAAAATTGACTTGATGGTACATGTTGATTACCATTCTGTACAGTGAATTGCCACTAGTCTAAGGAGTCCCCCTCTATATTCCTCATTATGTACGAAGTCCAGCAACTGGCATACTACAACGAATACAAATGTGAACTCATTAACTAGTGGCAATTCTCTGCTGTAATTTATGCCACCAAATTGATGCTAGCTTAAATAACCAATAGGATTCTCTAGCCCACTTTGTAACCTTTAAGAACTGGTGTGTGAAGATGTCTTTTTTCCTCTTTCTTCCCAATGCTGTTTTACAGCCTGGCCCAAGATAGTTTTGAGAGCAATTTATAGCAGGTTAATATATACTGTATATCTGTAAGCCAATACTATGCAACACAAATGCTGCAACCCTACACTTAGGAATACATTTAGAGTGACCACAGGAAAAACAGAACAGATATTTTATATTTTTAATATCTGCTTGGAAGATGAAGTATCAGCAGTTGCAGCTTTGAATCCAAACTACACGTGCTGAAATGTTCTCCCCACACAACCAATAAGGATGCAGGAACCCTTTCGCTCCCCCCCCCCCGTCCAGTTAGCCTAATTAAACTCCCCTGAAATCCTTCTCTAAGGAAGCATGATTAGGATAAAGCAGAGAAACCATTCCCTACAGCCAGTACATTCCGTTTTCATACTGAACCCCGACTACCATTAGAAAATAGGGTTTTTTAAGAGACCGCCTGCAGATGGGGAGAAGCTTCTCGAGTCAAACCAGGCGTGAACAAGGCAGCCACCCCTCCCTCCAAAAACAAAACAAGAAAAAAGCCAATTGATGCCAACGGCAGACGTGGCGCGCTGCTCATTTAGTCAGCTCCTTTGACTAAAGCTTATGCATAGAAAAAGGCATCACCTTGGCTCGTTTTCTTGCCTTTGGGGTTTCTATTCTCGCCACCCCCATTCCCACGTTCGACTTTCTCGGAGGTCGCCATGACACTTCCGCTTCAAACACACACACCCGTTCTAAACCCGGAAGTGGATGAGCCGACGACGATGCGCAACGCTGACTAGAGAGTCTGAATCTCGCCCCGCCCGCCGCCCCCGCCAGCATTTGCCCGGATGTCGTTCCCCCGGATCACTCACACATAGAGATAAAATGGTTAGAATGACGCACAATCTGAATCGACGGCAAAAACAGGAAGCCCGCCAATTGTTCTCTTAAGACAGTAGAGCGGCGTCGTTCTCTCAGTTACTCGAAAGTACGATTTGTTTTGCATTGGACGTGAGCCGGGAAGCAATGCATTCTGGGTTTGGTAGTTTTCAGCATTAACGGGACACGAAGTAGAATACACTGTAACTATAAAGCGCTTGAGAACATGGCATGTAGTACTGTACTGTGTTTTCATTTTTCTGCTATCTAGGGCTTGGTCCGTGAAGACATTAAAACGACGCGATGGCCAGCAAAATACCCTCATCCTTTATATTTTTTCAAAAAAAATCTGAAAGGACCTGTTCTTATGAACGATTTTACTGATCAGTTGTATCTATTTTTTAATTTTTTTGTATTTGGTGTCCATTCAAAATAGGATAGCCATATATATTCTTTTCTCAAATATTTTTGATATTTGGTTTTCTATTTTATTTATCTTTTAGTTCTTCCTAGACCTTTTGGATATTTATTTGTATCTAAACATTAGATAAAAGTATATTGTTTTACTTTTTAAAAAAACCTTGCTCTTTGGCATCGGTATATACCAAATGGTCAATCATAAGTAAGCTGTACAATGTGCATGATCTTATATACATACGTTGATATGAATGCATAAAATGAGGTTGAGAATACACATTGGATAACTAGTGCAGTGGATAGAGTAAATCCCTGCTTGGTCATGGAAACTCACAGAGGGGAGGGAGCATGTGACTGTAAAAATTTCTGGCACCTTAAATTTCTCACTGACTATGAAAGCACCATTTTTGTTGTTGTTGTTTAGTCCTTAAGTCGTGTCTGACTCTTCATGACCTCATGGACCAGAGCATGCCAGGCCCTCCTGTCTTCCACTGCTTCCCGGAGTTGGGTCAAATTCATGTTGGTAGCTTCAATGACACTGTCCAACCATCTCGTCCTCTGTCGTCCCCTTCTCCTCTTGCCTTCACATTTTGCCCAACATCAGGGTCTTTTCCAGGGAGTCTTCTCATGAGATGACCAAAGTATTGGAGCCTCAGCTTCAGGATCTGTCCTTCCAGTGAGCACTCAGAGTTGATACTAAATGGAGCAAATGGATAGGTTTGTTCTCCTTGCAGTCCGGGGGACTTTAAAGAGCCTCCTCCAGCACCACAATTCAGAAGCATCAATTCTTCGGCAGTCAGCTTTCTTTATGGACCAGCTCTTGCTTCCATACATCACTACAGGCAAAACCATAACTTTGATTATGCAGACCTTTGTTGGCAAGGTGATGTCTCTGCCTTTTAAAATGCTGTCGAGGTTTGTCATCGCTTTCCTCCCAAGAAGCAGGTGTCTTAATTTCGTGGCTGCTGTCACAATCTGCAGTGATCATGGAGCCCAAGAAAGCAAAATCTGTCACTAACTCCATGTCTTCCCCTTCTGTTTGCCATGAGGTGGTGGGACTAGTGGCCATAATCTTAGTTTTTTTGATGTTCAGCTTCAGGCCATTTTTTACGCTCTCCTCTTTCACTTTCATTAAGAGGTTCTTTAATTCCTCCTCACTTTGTGCCATCATAGTGGTATCATCTGCATATTGGAGGTTGTTGATATTTCTTCCGGCAATCTTAATTCTGGCTTCTCTTAGGTCCCTACCATTTTTGTCCTTTATCATTTCCATCTTTGCACAAAATGTTCCTTTAATATCTCCTATTTTCTTGAACAGATCTCTGGTTTTTCCCTTTCTATTATTTTCCTCTATTTCTTTGCACTGTTCATTTAAGAAGGCCCTCTTGTCCCTCTTTGCTATTCTTTGGAAGTCTGCATTCAAATTTTGGTAACTTTCCTTATCTCCTTGCATTTTGTTTCCCTTCGTCCATTCCCGTCCATTTAAGTTCACTGACACCCAGGATGTCAATGTTTATTCTTGCCATCTCCTGTTTGACCACATCCAGCTTACCAAGGTTCATAGATCTTACATTCCAAGTTCCTATGCAGTATTTTTCTTTGCAACATCGGACTTTCCTTTCACTTTCAGGTGCGTCCGCAGCTGAGTGTCCTTTCGGCTTTGGCCCAACCACTTCATTAGGTCTGGAGCTACTTGTACTTGTCCTCCACTCTTCCACAGTAGCATTTTGGATGCCTTCTGACCTGTGGGGTCCATCTTCCAGCATCATATCTTTTAGCCTTTTGTTTCTGTCCATGGGGTTTTCTTGGCAAAGGTACTGGAGTGGCTTTCCAGTTCCTGCTCCAGGTAGATCGTGTTTAGTCATAACTCTCCCCTATGACCTGTCCGTCTTGGGTGTCCCTGCACCGCATAGCTCATAGCTTCTCTGAATTACTCAAGCCCCTTGGCCATGACAAGGCAGGAATCTGTGAAGGGGAATACACCATTAGGGTTGCTGTAAAGCAAAATTTTTATTGCTAAATACTGTGCCCTTAACGGCATGATGCATCTTATTTGCTGGCTGCCAACTGAATGCCGGGTTGCACAACTGGAGGACTACGGGGCCTACAACAACCAGCCAGCATGTTGACTCCTGTGGCTTGCCCAACTGCTGTTACACATTTGCATAATGCTGTCAGATTCTGGCTGTGAACACTTTGGAGACACAACAGAATATCTCAGGAAGATCCCATTTTCAAATATACTGTAAATGCTGAGGCTCTCAAGCTTGGCATGTGTGTGTTTCTCTGTTATGTGTTTAATAAGTTATGCAGCTCTTCAGTTCTGATTGACGCTGTAGCTTTGGCAGAAAACTTGCTACATTAAATAGAGGGAGAAAAGGAAAGGTCGTGTCCATATCCACGGGATGTATTTTCCTGAGTTTCTACTCTGATTTCATGCTCAAGAGGGGCCTCTTCTTTTGTAAGAGAAGCAGTTGAACCAAGCTTTAAAGCCACCTGATACACACAAATCTTTTTTCCTCTACCATTGCTCACCCTGAGATTTGTCTGCCTACCTGAAGGCAGAGAAGTACTGTACAAGGATTTCCTGAGACTTCAGCCCTGCTCAACACCTATTAGATCAAGTGTGGTGTAGTTACTAGTTTTGGACCAGGGCTTGGTCTAAATCCCATTTGTTGTATGGCAGTCACATGGTCTCAGCTTGACCTACCTCATGATGTTATTTTAAGGATAATGTAAGAACACAGACATGTATTCCACCTTGAGTTAATTGGAAGAAAGACAGTATGATGATGATGATAATGATGATGATGATAATGATAATAATGAAAAATCAATCATCTGTTGTACACGGACAACCTAAAACTATATGCAAAACGTAGAGATAGAATCACTGCTAAACGCAGTGCAAATATTTAGTGAAGATATCCAAATGAAATTTGGAATTGAAAAATGTGCAGCTCTGTATATACAGCATGGCAAGATCCAAAAACTAGATGGAATAGAGTGAAAAAATGACAATATTATAAAATCACTATCAAATGATGAATAAATACTATATAAATACTGTGGAATACTAGAAGCAGATAACATCGTGCATATTAAAGTTAAAGAACTGACAGAAAAGGAATATATCAAAAGACTGTGGAAAAGCTTAAAATCAAAATTAAACAGTGGAAATGTAATCAAAGCCATAAACACATGGGCCTTTCCAATGATTAGATACCCAGCTGGAATAATAGATTGGACTCAAAACGAATTAGAAGAATTGGATCAAAAAACATGGAAACCAATGAACATGCATCACACGCTATATAGTGATATGGACAGATTATATTTACCACGAAAAAAACGGAGGCCATGGATTACTGCAAATACAGCAGGTAGTAGAGCAGGAAAAAAGAAGCCTAAATTTTTATGTCAGTTCACGCAGAGAAAAAATATGTAAGGCTGTGAAAATGGAAAATATTTTGAAACCAACAGAAACAAAGGCTCAATATAAGAAACAACAACTTGAAAATAAATTAAACACTTGGAAAAATAAACCACTACATGGACAACACCTGAGAAATCTTGATGGAAAGCATGATCATAGTTCAGCATGGGCATGGCTAAAACTGGGGAACCTTAAGAAAGAAACCGAAGTCTTGATTTTTCCTGCACAAGAACAAGCACTCCAAACCAATATGATAAAAGCTGAGATTCAAGGAATGAGTGATTACAGCAAATGTCGACTCTGCCAATAAAAAAAAATGAAACTGTGTCACACCTCATCTGCAAGTGTCCAAAGAGTGCACAAAGAGATTACAAAGTTAGACATAATAGAGTGGCAAAATTAGTGCACTGGTTATTATGCAAAAAATATAACTTGCCAGCCTCCAGTAACCCCTGGGAACATCAAGTAGAGGAGGTGTCAGAAAATGAGGAAGTCAAGATCTTGTGGGATTTCTGGATCCAGACTGATATACATCTTGAACATAACACACCAGATATAGTAGTAATAGAACAAAGAAACGTTTGGATCATTGACATTGCAATTCCAGGGGATGCCAGAGTTGAAAATAAAGAACTGGAAAAACTAACAAAGTACAGAGACCTGGTGTCAAAACATCTCGCCTCTAGAAGAAACACACTTGAGTGGTGCCCGTAGTCATTGGGGCTTTGGGAACAATATCAAGAAACCTCACACAGTACTATAAGCAGTTGCAAATCTCAGAAATCACACAATCAGATCTACAAAAAACAGCAATATTAGGAGCAGCATACATACTG